ATGTAACGTCAGAATCGGGAATGGAAAATCAGAAGTATGCATTTTCAAGTGAAGGGTGATGCTCTTATGCAGACAGGAAATGCGTGTAGTGGTGAGGTTATTGAGAGTATAGCGCGTATTTTTAAGGGATTTTGTAGCATGTTTGTGTTTACTCGTTATCAGCAGGCCATGGGGAACATTGCTGCACACCACACCCTATCCTTCAATTTCTGTACAGTATCTTCGAGCCAGCGAACCATACCCCGTCCTTCAATTTCTGTACAGTATCTTCGAGCCAAGCGAACCTTTGTGTCATCGAGAATGACGGTTCAAAAGAATATCAGGAACTTCGCGACAGATCCTAGGGTCATCCCGACCGAGCTGGAACGAGCCCGAGATTCTCTGTCGCCAGCGAAAAAAGCACCTCGGGAACATTTGTTGCGTTTGAAAAACGCACCGCAACTCCCCCGATGTTGGTGCGTCCATTGATACAGTACCATGTCTGTATGTCTGGTGCCGTGCCGTGTCACCCCACTGTATCTCTCGATTATCTCCCTGCCTTCCTTTTATGATGTTCTCCCGCATACCATGTGTCGTCGTCTCCCCCAATCCAGCCATCGCATACATTCAGTGTTTCACCCATTCAAGCCTTTCTACTCAGTTTGTTGACCAGCAAGCAAGTTAGGTGTTGGTACTGTTTAGGTTCTGACTATTTGATGAAGCCGAGATTGCGCTACTAAGCGCTTGCAGCGGCGTCGGTACAGGCCGTGTAAAAGGAGACAAGTAGGTGTATCTAGCAAGATGGCAAATGTGAAGTATTCTCACCAGGGCTCCGATAAAAGCCTGTCCTCGGAATACTCGTTACACGACAGTCCACATTCCGCAAGTATCCCCGTTAGAAGCGGCAGCGTTATGGTTAGTGAACCCTCATCCGGTCCGCAAAGTCCAGTTCCCCGTACAGCGAGCCTTACGTCTCCAACTAAATCACGAAGCCGCCGCTTCATGCTTTCGTTAAGAGGCTCTCGCGATGGTACTCCGAGCGTTCCTGTATCGGTAGATGCCAATAACGGGGCTGGCGTCGCTGCGATTGGAGCAGCAGCAGCAGCAGCGGCGGCGGCGGCGAATAAAGGCCGGCCGAGAGATCGTCGGTGGCTTTTTAGCAAGTCGGCGAGTTCCCGGTCTGCCTCTAGCGATGTCAGTAGCATCAACAGCAGCAGCCAACACGTACACTCCTTTTTTCCAGCGGCTTTCTTTAGCGATGGGGTCGCCAGCAGCGGCAGCAGCAGCATCCCCAGCAGTTACGCCGGCTCGGCAGCTGCCAGCGCCGCAATCAGCGCCGTGAATAGCGGCGCTGCCGTCACCGCAACGGCCAGCGCCGGGAGTTCCGCGAGCGGGGTAAGGAGCGCAAGAGTAAGAGCAAAGCGCGCGCGTTGCGCCGAGCGACGATGGGCGCGGGGAGCTTCCGTGCGTGCTTCTTTCCGCACAGCGGAATGGTGGCGGGGGACTGGGACCCCGAGGACATGGCGGAGCGCTCGGAGCGCATCCACCGCCTGCGGAACAGGCGGATGAAGGGGGCAGGCGAAGGGGGAATGGCGGAGGAAGGGGCGGAAGATTCGCAAGGGGAACTGGGTAGTGGGGAAGCTGGGGGAGCTCCGGAAATTGTCGCGGAAGCGGGGAGTAAGACAAGGCAACGGTAACAAGAACGAAGCAGACAGGAAAGAGCAGGGAACAGCTATTGGCGGTGGAGATCCGAATAGCGAGGAAGCTAATAACGAGGATGACCAAGGCAGCGAAGAGGGCATGGCGCTAGACGATGAAATCCGCGAGCCGAGCTCGCTGATGGAAGCGATAGCGATTAGGCGGTCCCTGCAGCGAGCACAGGGTGGAGAGGACGCAGAGAGGGGCGAGGAGAGGACGCAGGGAGGGGCGACTGTGGCGAGAGGGAGAAGGGCGGAGCGCGTGAGGGAGGGGGGGAAGAGAGGGTGAGAGGGAGAGGGATGAGCGCGGGGAAGGGCGACTAGGATTCAGGGCTTGGGGATTTCAGGAGTGGAGAGAAGGGGGGAGGGCGTGACGGAAGGAGAGCGAGAGGAGGTACGGGGAAGGGATGGAGAGAGGGAGAAGGAAGGGGAGGGCACAGGGAGGGGATGGGGTGCGAGAGGAGGAGGAGCAGGAGCGGCAGTGGGAGTGTGCGAAGCAGTCTGTGTAGCATAGAGGAGGACGAGGGGGTTACAGGTGATGGTAGCACAGCTCTTTCCACTCATTCTCGAGACGTCTTTTCCAGCCACCCTGCTGCCAGTAGCGCATCTGACACTAACGAGTTTCCAGTGGCGAATGATACGCCACTCATGAACCTGGGAGGAATGTCGGGTGATAAGGAAGGACAGGAAGGCACCCAAGGGCAGGTAGGTTCGGAAGGGACGGAAGGGGCGGAAGGGCAGGTGCCACCTGGGGCAGGGCGTATTGCTGAAGGGCGGTTCCCGGACATGCCGCCAGCAGGGCACGTGCGGGGCCGAGGAGGGAGCGAGGGAGCTGAGCTGGGTGGCTTTTCACCTGGCAGATCACCTGGCAGATCACCTGGCAGATCACCTGGCATGTCGCCTGCGTTTTCACCTGGGCACCCGGCTTCGCCAACTCCTGCGTTTTCACCTGGGCACTCACCCTCCCGTACCCCTGCTAGATCGCCCCTCCGGCCTCCTCGCCCGTCTCGGTCATCATCCCTGTCAGAAGGGAGACTGGAGGTGAAGCCAGATGGTCGCACAGGTAGCCCTGCTGCTGCTGTTGCTGCTTCCTCACCCCCCCAGGCATCCCCCCCAGCTTCCCATGCCCAACCGAAGGCGTTCCCAACCTCAGCATCAGCATCGGCATCGCAATCAGCATTGGCATCGCAATCAGCATCGGCATCGCAATCAGCATCGGCATCGCAATCAGCATCGGCATCGCAGTCAGCATCGGCATCGCAGTCAGCATCGGCATCGCTGTCACCATCCATGTCCCCATCGCGCCTGCTTGCAGCTATGCCGTCGCACCCCTCGCCAAACATTCCCGTGTCCAAGTCTGGATTTGATCTTCCCCCTGCCGCGCACTCGTGGGCACCCGCCACCACCTCACACGCCTCCCCTCCTTCCTCTCGCTTCCAGCCTGGTCCTTCCCTTACACAGAAAGAGCAGCAGCAGCAGCAGCATCACCATTCCAAGTCACTTTTAGACGGGGCAAGCACCGCCCTAGATGCCATGGTGACTGTAAGGAGGGTTCCCAGAGTCCCAGGAGGCAAAGGGGGTTGGAGGGAAGCTGCTTCTGCAGGAGGAGACGATTTCGGGCTCGGAGCCTCAGGAGGTTCGGCAGGGTCAGGCTCGGGTCTCCGATGCTCGGTTCTCCACTCGCGGTCGTTCCGAGGAGGTTCGGCCGGAGCTGCGATGGCTGCAGCTGCTGCAGTGGCAGCAGCAGCTGTAGCAGGTGGGGGTGGGGCAACGGGTGCTAACAGCCCGTTGCTGCAGGCTAAGAGAAGACAGGCAGGATCAAGTTCTATGAGGGGGAAGAGCTTAGCAGCACTGGATTTTGAAAGGATACTGGCCAGTGGGGGAGGTGAGAGGAGAGGGGGCGGTGATGGTGGTGGTGGCGCTATTGGTGGTGGCTTGGGTGGTGGTATGGGAAGAGGAGTGGATGGAGAGGGGGAGGATTCGGAGTGGGAAGGGAGATTGGAGCTCGAGGAGTGGGAGAGGGCGAGTGGGATTGGAGTGAGGGGGATTGGAAAGAGGGTCAGTGGAGTGAGGGAGGCGGGAGTGAGGGAGGATAAGGCAGGAGGTGAAGGGCTTGGGGAGGAGGAGGTTCGAAGACCACCAGGGGACGCACTGTTGCTTCCAGCAGAGGCTGGCCAGTCAGCATTCGAGGGGGCAATTTTTGAGTTGACCCAAAAGGTTGGGGAGGAGGAGGTTCGAAGATCACCAGGGGAAGCAGTGCTGCTTTCAGCGGAGGCTGGCCAATCAGCGTATGACAGGGTGGGTGGGGGACTTGGATGGGAGACTCTGGGGGAAAAACGTGATGCAGGGAGTTTGCAAGGGGGAGAGAGGAGTCTGCAAGGGGGAGGGGAGAGTTCGCAAGGGGGAGGGGGGAGTTTGCAAGGGGGAGTGGGGAGTTTGCAAGGGGGGGAGGGGGAGTTTGCAAGGGGGAGTGGGGAGTTCGCAAGGGGGAGGGGGGAGTTTGCAAGAGGAAGAGGGGAGTTTGGCAGTGCAGGCGTGTGGAAGCAGAGAGGAGATTTCTTATGGGGCGCCTCAAAAGTCGTCTGCTGCGTGTGAGGGGAGTGAGAGTGGAGGCAGAGAGGGAGGAGGCGAAGTGCAAGGCGTGGTGGAGGAGGAAGAGGATGAAAAGAGTAGGGAGAGAAGGGAGAGGAGGGAGAGGAGGGAGAGGAGGGAGAGGAGGGAGAAGGAGAAGGAGAGGAAAGAAAGAAGAGAGAAGGACGGAGAGAAGAGGGTGGAAAAAGAAGCAGGGACTGCAGGGATTGGAGGGGAAGAGGGAGGAGCAGGCCAGGTAGTGGGGGGAGTGAGGGAGGGAGAGGGGGGAGTGGGGGAGGGAGAGGGGAGATTGGTGGGAGGGGAAACGGAGAGGGACGGGGACAGGAGTGCGGAAGTGCGTGTATTAAGTGGTAGAAGTGATAGTGTGGGAAGTGGCAGTGTGATAAGTGACAGTATGAGGAGCGATACTATGAGAAGTGAGGATATCAAGAGAAGCGACACGATGAGAAGTGAGACGATGAAACGGAATAGCATGAGAAGTGATAGTATGAGAAGCAACAGTGGCAAAGCTCTAAGGAAGAGCAGGAGTACTAAGGGTGAGGATAGGGTCAAGACAGAGAAGAGGCACAAGGTAAAGAAAGCCACCAGTGGCGATGCTGCTGCTGCTATTAGCCCTAGCAGCAACGCATCAAGGTCTGTAGAGAGGACTGACAGTAACGCAGCAAGCTCTATAACGAGGACAGAGAGCTCTGTAACAAGGACAGAGAGCAATGCGAGTACTAGCTTCGATACAGGAACTTGCGGTAGCATCAGCCCCATGGAAAGCCCTAGCAGTAGCTGGAAGGAGGGTGACACTGGTGGGCGGGAGCTTGGCAGGAGCGCGAGGGAGCGTGGTGGTAGCAGGAGGGAGGGCGGCAGTGGTAAGGGACCAGGGGAGGTTGTGAGTCCGAGCAGTGGTGATGGGAGGAGGATAGGGAAGAGTAGTAGTAGGGGAACGGGGCAGATTGTGAGTCCGAGCAGTGGTGATGGGAGGAGGATAGGGAAGAGTAGTAGTAGGGGAACGGGGCAGATTGTGAGTCGAGCAGTGGTGACGGGAGGAGGATGGGGAAGAGTAGCAGCAGACGGAATGGGGTTGCTGGTGGGGGAGAGGAGGAGGGAGGAGGTGAGGTGTCATCTAGGAGAAGGAAAGATGGGAGGAGGGAAGGGAGGAAGGAAGGGGAGAAGAGGGATGGGGGAGGGGACGGGAAGGGGAAGGATGCAAAGGGGAAGGAGAAGAGGGAGGAGGTGGAGAGAGTGGAAGAGGAGAAAAGAGGAGGGAAAGAAGAGGGTACGATCGAAGAGGGCAGAATTGGAGGGGATAGGGTTCAAGAGGATAGGGATGAGGTGGAGGGCGGTGGAGAGGCAGAATCATCGGAAGGTGTGATAGAGTGGACCAAGCTAGGAGTCGTGAAAGGGAGGGAGAAGAAGAGGGAGAAAGAGAGAGAGCAGGAGAGGGGGACAAGGAGAGAGAAAGAGAGAGAGAAAGGGAGAGAGAAAACAAGAGTGGGGGAGGCAGAGGAGGGGAGTGTAGCAGAGGGAGAGGGAGTAGCAGAGGCAGCCACCACTGAAGCTGGGCTGTCTGGAAAACTCACAGAGGGAGCAACTCCTGCTGCTGCTGTTATGCCTGGTTTGCCTCGAGATTTCACCATGGCAGATTTGGGCGCTTCTCCTGAGACGTCTCAACGGGGTGCTGCTGCTGTCATGCCCGGTTTGCCTCGAGATTTCACCTTGGTGGACCTGGGCAAGCCTTTTGAGTCGGCTGAAAAGGGTGCTGCTGCTGCTGTTTCTGTACCGGCTTTACCTCGGGATTTCACCATGGCAGATTTGGGGAAGGCGGGGCCAGGAGTGGGGTTAACAGGGTCAACTGGGTCAACTGGGTCAGTGGGTTTTTCAGAGCTAGCAATTCCAGCAAATTTATCAGGTTCAATCGGGTCAACGCAGGTCAACAGCATACTGGTCAATGACGGACAGGTCAGCAACGGCAGCGGACAGGTCAGCAACGGACAGGTCAGCAGCGGACAGGTCAGCAGCGGCACGGACGAGTTTGACTTTGCGAGTCCATTGCTTTCAGTGCGCGTCCCAGTGCGCCCCCTCTCCTCGCTCTCTACCGTATCTAACACCTCAGAACCCCATTCTGAACGCTCAGAACCCCCCTCCACCGCCTCAGGACCCCTTACTGTTCCAGGCGAGGAACTGAGAGGAGTCATGTCCCAAGGGAGGCCAGAGGCGGAAGAAGAAGTGGACGCTCAGGAGAGGATGGTTTCAGAGCTCGTGTTCAAAGGCAAGAAGATTCGAGTGAGAAGCGAGCAGGAGCAATGCGATGCTCACAGTGGCCGGGAGGTGCTAGCCGAGCAGCGCGAGCAGGGCGAGCAGACCTGTGAGGCGCCTCAAAAGCAGGCAGAGCAGGGCAGACAGGATGATGAGCAGGGCGAGGGCGACCCTATGACAGGCGGTCTCCAAGCCCCTCAACACGATCCCCACCTGCCTCCTCTCAACACGGTGCAGCCCACCGCTCGCCCCACCAGTTCTGGGTTCCAGTTCCGCCCTCTACTCCTCTCAGCCCCCTCCGATTCCCCAGGCCCCTCAGGCCCCCCGGGTTTCGCAGGCTTCTCAGGCTCGTCCCAGCGCTCTGCTCCCCCCACACCCTTTGGCTTCACCGGCACCAGCAGCAGCAGCGGCGGCGGCGGTGGCGGTGGTGGGGGTGGTGTGAGTGGTGTGAGAGATGGGCAGCACTGGGATCATCATGGGCCTTCAGGTGCTGCTGCTGCTGCTGGGGGTGGGTTTCTAGCAGGGGGTGCAGCAGGGAGCAGCAGTAAGTGGCAGTGTGGTCAGGAGTTTGGGCCGATAGGGGCGGCTAGAGTGAGGGCTCAGAGGTGTAGGGAGCACTGGACTCTGCTCTTCATGGATCTGCTCGATCTCATGCTCAAACGGACGGCTGGAGATGAGTCTGTGGACGATGAGGGTGATCTGATGGTGAATCGGACGGCTGGGGATGGGTGTGTGGGTGGGGAGGGGGGTGGTGGTGGTGTAGGGTGGGGGCATGAGGGGAAGCGATGGGAGGGGGGTCAGGATGAGTGGGTGACCGAGGATGCTTGTAAGGGGTATAAGAGGTGTGACGAAGGGGAGGAGGGTAGAGAGGAGGTGTATAGGGAAGGTGGGTTCAGTCTGGCTCGGATGCGGCCTGACAGCTTTGGCGGCAGCAGCGGCAGGCTCGGCAGCAGCAGCGGGAGACTCGGGTCGATGGTCCGAGCCTCGTCATCAGCTGCGGCACACCGGGACTTCGAGTGGATCTGTGAGAAATTCCGAAGCGCAACGGAGCTCTCTGATAGGCTGAAAGAGCGCCACGTCAGCGAGGCGTTTACTGTAGCACTGGCTGTGTGGTTGAGGTTCTGGGAGCAGTGGGGGGACGGGCCTCCCGATTGGGCAGAGGAGGAGGATGAGGGGGAGGTTCTGCTGGAGGAAGGAGAGGAGGGAGAGGAGGGGGAGGAGGGGGAGGCGTATGGGGAGGAGCATATGGAAAGGATCCCTTCAGGTGCTTGGTTGAGTAGTGAGGGAAGGGGAGGAGGAGGGGGAGAGGGAGGGGGAGGAGGGGGAGGAAGGAGTATAGGGAGGCAGAGGTCGTTAGGCTGGGTTGATGAGGAGAGGACTGGGATAGGCTCGCCCGAGCCTTGGGCTCGTAGGGACAGCTTTGGGCGAGTGAGCCGAACCAACAGCATCAACCGAACCAACAGCATCAACCGGACCAACAGCATCAACCGAACCAGCAGCATCAGCCGAACCTTCAGCCGAACCAGCAGCCGCGGCGGCCTCACAACGGCCCGAGTGAACAGCAGAGGGAGCAGTTTGCGCGAGGGGGGAAGCATGAGGGAGGGAGGGGGACTGCTGCGCCTCTCCTCAACTATCTCCTCCACCACTGCCCCTGAACTAGCAGACTTAGCAGGGTTGGGTTCGCACGCATTCAAGATGACCTGGCTGAAGCTGCTGGGATGCTGGCAGGGGTGGGGGCGGGGTCTGCTTTTGAGCTCAAAATCTAGCAGGGGTGGGGGCGGGGTCTGGGAGACAGGAGGAGACGTGTGGGGGGGATGAGGTGGGGAGCGGCGTAGTGTTAAGTGGGAGGGAAGCTGGGAACGGGAACGGGGGGAAGAGTGGCGGTGGGTTGGCTGGGCCTGTTTCCAGGCCTCAACGGTGGCTCAGCATGGAAGCTGGTGCAGTTGCTGCTGCAGGTGCCTATGGCAGTGGTAGTAGGGGCAGAGGAGCGGGGGAGCGTGAGGGGGACGAGGAGGAGGAGGAGCAGGAGGGGGCGTATGGGAAGTCGCTGACAACAGCAGCAGTGGAAGGGGGCAGCGGCCGCATGGCCTATGCAGGCGACGGGAGGGGGCGAGGGGCGGGCAGAGGCAGAGGCGGGGAGGAAGGGGCGGGGAGAGGGGCAGAGGGGCGGCCTGTGCTGGCAGCACCTGCAGCAGCGGCGGCGGTGCGTGTGTTTGTGTGGGATCCAGAGGGCAGCATTCAGGAGCAGCTGGTTAGCATGGCTCTCTGCTCTGACCTGCGCGCTGCTGTCCCTGCTCTCCCTGCTGCTGCTCCCGCTGCTACTGCTGCCAGTGCTGGTGCTGAGGGTGCTGATGGGGGTGGGGGTAGCGTCGATATCGCCCAAGGGTCTGCTGACGCACCAACAGCAGGAGCAGCGAATCTCCCGCAGCTGCACCCCCAACACCACCAGCAGAGCGGGGATACACAGACCAGTTCCTCGCCTCGCGCTGCCACCATGACAACATCCTCGTTTTTGTCGGCCTCGCTGCAGCGCTGAGCGTGTGGCGCCCCGCTACAGCCGCCCTCATTCTCCTGCGCCTGCTCGACCGCATCGCCTTCTTCGAGCTACAGCTGGAGCGAGAGCAGGCTGTAGCGGCAGCTGTAGCAGCATCCGCAGCTGTTGCTGCCGCCGGCGCTGGTGCTGGTACTGGTGGTGGTGGTTATCAAAGGCTGGGATCGGTTAGGGGAGGAAGTGCAGGTGCAGCAGGGGGGGGAGTGGGGAGCTTGAGGGGCTCTCCTCGTGCCGCTGTGCCTGTGTCACGGTCCTTTGCACCTATCGGTCACAACCGCACACCCAGCATGCAGTTAATGCAGCAGCAGCAGCTGATGCTTCTTCAGTTCAACCCAGACGCAGACGAACCTCTTTCTCACAAATCCACCGCTCTGCACCCCTCTCACCGACCCCCCAGCTCGAGCTTCGGCGGCGCCACCTCCGGCAGAGGCTCGGAGAGTTCCGAAGCTGCGAGCGCAATCAACAGCAGCAGCAACGGCACTACCACCACTAGCACCACTAGCAGGAGCAGCAGCAGCATGAGTGGGGGCAACAAGTCCAACAGGTCATGGGCTCCCTTACTAGGCACACACTGCCGGCCTGCCGGGCGTTTGTAGTGTCGTGCCTGTCTGCCATCCTGACTGCCTGTAGCGAGCGGTCCGCTGCGGCTGTAGCGGCGTCCACCCCTGCTGTGCAGCGGCTGATGATTTGGCAAGGAGGGGATGGGGAGGGGCGGCTGGAGGAGGGCGAGGAAGGCGAGGAGGAGGAGGAGGGTGAGAAGGAGAGGGAAGGTTGGGGGGAGGAGGAAAGGATGGAGAGGCAGAGGGGGAGGAGGGGTGGGGGAGGTGTGAGTAAGGAGCAGCAGAGAAGGGGATGGACCATGCCGAGTCTGGCATCCGGTGTGGATACTTCTGACGCTGCTGCGTCTGGTGCTGCTGCTTCCGCTCCTCTCGCCCACATGGGAGGAACCTCACCAATCCCAACCCCCCCCAACCACTCCCCAGCTCATCCCAGCCGCCCTCCCTCCCGCTCCCGCTCCCGCTCCCCACTCACCCACTCCCCACTCTCCCACTCCCCACTCTCTCACTCCCCACTCTCCTCCACCCACACCCCGCGTAGACCTCAGGTCTGGGAACCCATGTCCCTAGCAGCTATGGCAGAGGTAGCACTAGCAGAAGGGCTTGCAGCTGCCACCCACTCGAGCCTGGAGGAACGGTGTGAGGAGCAGGATCGGCTGTACCTACAGCTCAGCCTCGGCCCGGGCCTGCTGGGGATGACCCTGGCGGCGACGATGAGGGAACTTGAGCATATACACCCGGACGACAGCATGGCAATTGCGAGTCTAGCCCAGGAATTAGGGTTAGACGAGGCGGCGTTTCATGCCGCACTGAGGGCCGTTTCCAGTGGGAGGCTCAAGGCTGCTGGGTTCGATCGGGTGATTGGAATGGTATTTACAGGTAGAGGGGTTGAGTCGGTTACAATGCGGTTTGCTAGGCTGGCTGCTGCGGTGAAAACGGCCCAGTTCTGGGGGTCTGGGGTAGGGCCTGGGGCGGTAGAGGGGGCCCATCTCTCTCCCCTCTCCTCTCCTAATACAGGAGGGAGGAGTGCTGGGGGAGCAGCGCAAGGGGGGAGGAGCGCAGGAGCAAGCAGTAGTAGAGGTGGGGGGACAGGCTCAGACGCTGCCGTCAAGGCGGATCCAGATATTACCTCCCCTAGAGCAGCAGCAGCAGCAGCAGCAGCAGCAGCAGCAGCAGCAGCCAAAGCTGCCGGCTCTGATCCTCTCTCCCCCTCTTCCACTTCCTCTCCTGCTCTCTCTGGTTCAACAGTTCCCTCAGCCTCCCCCTCCCCGTCTCTCTCCGCGGCTGCTCCTGGTTGGGCTGCTGCTGCCTTTGCAGTTGCCTCTAGTTGGGGCTCTGCGCTTGCCTCCCAGGCTAGTTCCGGAGCTGCAGCTGCGGCAGCAGGTTCTGGGAAAGGCTCGGCGGCAGGCTCGGTGGGTGGGTTGTGGGCGGCTGGCAGAGCAAGCGCTCCAGTGGTTGATGCTGGACCAGGCGGTGCGTCAGGTGGTTCTTCAGGTGGTGCCTCAGGTGCCGGCAACAATTCTGATGCCACTGGTCCCAGCGCTGGTGGTAGTGGTGTCGAACTGGTAGCAAGGGAGGGGAGGAGACGGGGAGGGAGCGAAGGCGAGGTGGGAGCATGGCTGAGTGAAGGGGCAGCAGAGGAGGGGCGGGAGGACGGGGAGGCGTTATCTGGTGCGGGTAGATCCAAGCCAGGGCACGCCCGGGGCAAGAGTGACATTCCTACGCTGTGGCTGGGGGGAGGGAGCGGCACCAGCGGAAGTGGCACCCTTTCTTCCCCTTCTGCTGCTGCTGCTGCTGCAGCAGGGGGAGGAGGAGGGGCGAGAGGCTGGGCTGGAAGCTTCTTCTCCAGCACCCCCCACGGAAGCCCGAGAGGTGCTGGCAGTGCTGGTGGTGCTGGTGCTGGCGCAGCAGGGAATTGGGGGGGAGCTGCTGGGATGGGCCCAGGCGGGGGTCTAGGAGGGGGGATGGGAGGCGGAGTGGGTAAGACTGGCACTGGCACCGGCATGGGCACAGGCCTGGGCAGTGGCACGGGTACGGGCAGCAAGCCGTCGAGTGCGGTGTTCCTGACTCCGCGCACCTCCCAGCAGAACTCGTACGTGGCGGAGTTTGTGGATGCGATGCTGCGCAGCGAAGTGATGCGCCGGCAGCACGCGTGGGCGTACGAGCTGCTGCTCAACTTCCTCAGGATCAACAGCCGAGGGGCGCCCATGGAGGAAAGAGAGCTCAACCTCTGCGCGCAGGTGCGTGGGCAAGTGGGTGGGTTGTGGTGTGGTGTGGTGTGGGAGATGGAGGAGCGGGCAGTCTCTAAGATGGAGGGAATGGACGATCCAGGCGTGCAGTGCAGGTGCGGTGGTGGCCCATGTGGGTGCGCGTGGGGCGCCTGGCCAAGCGACAGTACGACCTGCCCAGCCGCGCCTGCTAGTTGTGCTGGCGGTGGTGGTGATAGTGGTGGTGGTGTGGCACAGACGCGCCTTTCACTCTCTCACCTGCTCCCATGTCTCTCCCTGTTCTCGCCCGCTGTCCTGTTCCCCTGCTTGTGCGTGCCTGGTCTGCAGGTGCTACTCACCAAGTGGCTGGGCGAGGGCGAGGTGGGGGAGATGGAGGAGAGGGCAGTTCACAAGATTGAGGGAATGGACGACCCGGGCGTGCAGGTGGGGTGGCCCATGTGGGTGCGAGTGGGGCGCCTCGTGGAGCGCCAGTACGACCTGCCGCGCCTGCTGCACGCCATGCAGAGCCTCTCCATCTGGTTCAACTATGACGTGAGTCTGCTTATAACGGGGATAGATGGATGCTTGTAAAGGGGATAGATATGCGCCAGTACGACCTGCCCCGCCTGCTGCACGCCATGCTGAGCCTCTCCATCTGGTTCGACTATGAGGTGGGTCTGCTTATAACGGGGATAGATGGATGCTTGTAAAGGGGATAGGTATGCGCCAGTACGACCTGCCCCGCCTGCTGCACGCCATGCAGAGCCTCTCCATCTGGTTCGACTATGAGGTGGGTCTGCTTATAACGGGGATAGATGGATGCTTGCAAAGGGGATAGATATGCGCCAGTACGACCTGCCCCGCCTGCTGCACGCCATGCTGAGCCTCTCCATCTGGTTCGACTATGACGTGGGTCTGCTTATAACGGGGATAGATGGATGCTTGTAAAGGGGATAGATATGCGCCAGCACGACCTGCCCCGCCTGCTGCACGCCATGCAGAGCCTCTCCATCTGGTTCAACTACGATGTGAGTGAGGCTTCTTGTATGGGGGATGAATGGGTTGGGTAGGGGTGGGTGGGTTTCTGGGCGCGGTGGAAAGGAGTGGGTGCTTGGGTTGGGATGGTTGCGTTGCGGTGGGTGGGGCGATTTTTTAGGCGCCTCAAAGATCGTATGGGGGATGAATGGTTTGGGTAGGGGTGGGTGGGTGGGCGGTGAGGAATGAGATGGGTGTTTGGGATGGTTGCGGTGGGTGGGACGGGGGGGGGTGGTTGGATTTCAAGCTGACTCAACCCTCAGAGTTGATGGTTTGGGGGTTGACTGAGGAGCAAGTAGGGTGGCATGTATGGGGGATGGAAGGATGGGTTGGGATGGGTTGGGATGGGTGGGTGGCGCCATGCAGAGCACAGCCTCTCCATGTGCTTCAGCTACGATGTGAGGCTGCTTGTACTTGTATGGGGGGTGACGGGTGGGGAGAGGTGCATGGGGTTTGTTAATGGGTTAAGATGGGTGGGTGGCGCCATGGAGAGCCTCTCCATCTGGTTAGCTACGATGTGAGGCTGCTTGTATGGGGGATGGGTGGATGCAAAGCGGTTAGGTGAGGTGCATGCATGGAGGATTTATTGGACTCTTCAAACGCAGGAATGCCACGCCTCCATTTTGTCTGGGGTATGGCCCAGTTCGCCCATGTCGCCCGTTTTCCTGGGACATCTGGTTCAACCGCCCACCTTCCTTCTTGGATCATTTCCCCCCGGTCCCTCCCCACTCACCCACCTGCCCCCCAACAACTCTCGCCTCTCCTTCCCCACCTCACCCGAACCCCACCCATCCCCCCATTTTGCTCTCCCCTTACACTCCCTTGCTTCTTCTCCCTCTTCTTGCATTCTCTTCCCCGATGGCACGTGCAGCAGTGTCACTGTCCCGTCCACCTCTTCTCCCCCCTTTTCCACCACCCCTTCCCTCCGTCACATCCCCCCCCTCCGCCATCCACCCACACCGCAGCAACTGGAGGAGGACGCCACGTGCAGCAGCGCCACCGACCCTTCCACCTCTCCTTCTCCTTTCTCCCTTCTCCATCACCCTCCCCACTTCCCCCCCCGTCTCTCCCCACCTTCGCTCTCAGGAACTGGAGGAGGACGGCACGTGCAGCAGCACCACCGTCTCAACTGTCTTTGACTGGGGCCTGGCCGGCCTGCTACAGGATCTGCCGCCCAGAGACGACGCCGCCCAGTCGCTGCTGGACATACTTGACCCAGAAGATGACGAATGGATCGACGTCTCGCTCGCTGTTGCCGCCCGGATGGCGCTGCCGACCGGCAACTGGTGGCCGGTGCAGGGCGGCGGAGGGGTGGCGGGGTTCGTCGCCAAGCTGCTGTCACTGATAGAAGAGTTGTGAGTTTCATTCGTTCTTTTCCGTTTCCTTGTTGTTTGTTTGGGGAACCAACACTCCAGCAGCAGAGCAGGGCGGTGCAGGTGGCATTGCTACACGGGTCGTGTTCACCCTTACCCTCACTCACTTCTTCTCTCACCCAGCCAAAACCCCCGTTCTTCCTTCCCACCCACTCTCCCCCACCCTGTTGTACAGGCGGTGAGCCCACCCCCAGCAGCAGAGCAGGGCTTGTGAAGGTGGCGCTGCGGCTGTGGAGCTGGGCCATGCCCAAGCGGGGAGCAGCTGCAGGAGCAGTGCGAGGTGAGCAGGGTTGCAATGGGTGGGATGGGGTATGTGTGGGGGTAGGTGGGGTGGGATGGGGTGTGGTGTGGGTAGGTGGGGTGGATGGTGTGTGGTGTAGGGTAGATGGGGTTGGGATGAGGTAGGGGTGTGGAGGGTAAACGAAGAGGGAGGCAGATGCAGGCAGATTTGCTTCGGCTATGGTGCAGGGCCTTTGGTTTGGCGAAGCGGGAGCAGCTGCAGAAGCAGTGCGAGGTGAGAGGAGGGGACTGGATTTGGATATTTTGTGTGCTTCGTATATTCATTTTCCAAGGCGGCCTGCAAAATTCTTTCGCTGTGAATTTATTCTTTGTTTTAAAACGTCATCGAATCAAATTGTATTGCTGTGTTACCCTGTGTTGCTATGTGCTGCTCCATGGTGTCCTGTTTTGCGTTGTGTTGCTCTCTGCTGTGCGGTGCTGCCCCTGCCCCCATCAGACGGAGGAGGAGCTGATGGAGGTGTGGCAGCGGTCTGCCTCGGCCATCTGGCGATCCGTGGCCGTGCGGAGGTATGCTGCTGGTGCTGGCAGCCGGGTAAAGCCGTTGCTATTGCTGGCGCTTTGGGGAAGGAGCGGCGCTAGTGTTGGGGTTTGAGGGTTGGGATGGTTCTAGTGGTTTGTGAGCTGTGGCAGCGCTCCACCTCTGCAATGTGGCGATTCGTGGCGTGTGGAGGTATGGGGCTAGTGGTTAGATGTTTTGTGAAGATAGGGCGCTAGTGGTTAGATGGTTTTGTGAAGATAGGGCGCTAGTGGTTAGTATTGTTTTGTGAAGATAGGGCGCTAGTGTTAGATGTTTTGTGAAGATAGGGCGCTAGTGGTTAGATGTTTTGTGAAGATAGGGCGCTAGTGGTTAGATGTTTTTGTGAAGATATGGGCACTAGTGGTTAGATGTTTTGTGAAGATAGGGCGCTAGTGGTTAGATGTTTTGTGAAGATAGGGCGCTAGTGGTTAGATGTTTTGTGAAGATAGGGCGCTAGTGGTTAGATGTTTTGTGAAGATAGGGCGCTAGTGGTTAGATGTTTGTGAAGATAGGGCGCTAGGTGTTTAGATGTTTTGAAGATAGGGCGCTAGTGGTTAGATGTTCTGAAGATAGGGCGCTAGTGGTTAGATGTTTGTGAAGATAGGGCGCTAGTGGTTAGATGTTTTGTGAAGATAGAGCGCTAGTGGTTAGATGTTTTGTGAAGATAGAGCGCTAGTGGTTAGATGTTTTGTGAAGATAGAGCGCTAGTGGTTAGATGTTTTGTGAAGATAGGGCGCTAGTGGTTAGATGTTTTGTGAAGATAGGGCGCTAGTGGTTTAGATGTTTTGTGAAGATAGGGCGCTAGTGGTTAGATGTTTTGTGAAGATAGGGCGCTAGTGGTTAGATGTTTTGTGAAGATAGAGCGCTAGTGGTTAGATGTTTGTGAAGATAGAGTGCTAGTGGTTAGATGTTTTGTGAAGATAGAGCGCTAGTGGTTAGATGTTTTGTGAAGATAGAGCGCTAGTGGTTAGATGTTTTGTGAAGATAGAGCGCTAGTGGTTAGATGTTTTGTGAAGATAGAGCCCTAGTGGTTAGATGTTTTGTGAAGATAGGGCGCTAGTGGTTACTCTCAACTTTCTTTTCAATTCCCCCTTTGAATTCCCCCTTTGAATTCTCCCTTTGAATTTTCCCTTTTAGAACCCCCTTTCAACCCCACCTGTCAATTCTCCCTTAAAAGAAACCCCCTTTCAACCCCCCCTATCAATTCTCCCTTTCAAATCCCCCCCTTTCAATTCTCCCATTCAGAACCCCCTTTCAACACCCCCCTTTCTACTCCCCTTTCAACTCCCCTTTCACTCCCCCTTTCAACTCCCCCTTATTCTCCCTTTCAGAACCCTTTCCATTCCCATTTCACCTCAACCTTTCACTTCTCCCATTCCCAATCCCTATTTCAACCCCTGTTCCCCGCTCAGAAATGGCTCCAGAGCCTTGAGCCGGGGCCCCTTTTCTCCTCCACTCTCAACTCGACTTCATTCTCTAGCACTGGGAGACACTGCACTGTGAGAGGTGATTATTTAATGCCAGGAACGACTTCTGAGACCTCTTGAAAGGCCTCCACTGAGCTCAACTTGCCCTGTTGAACAGTGCCAGATGGCTGCACCGCAAGAATATTTTAGAATAAAGTGGCGACTGGGTTTCGTTTAACTTGCCAGCACCTGCAGTGCAGCAGGGGGTTGATGTAATGAGTTGATGAAGACGAAGCTACTTCTGCCTTAAGCGTTCTCGCACAATCCATAGTATCCTCTCGTTGTACATTTCTGTCTTGTGATTTGCATTCCGCAATCTCCACTAAGGTTGAATTCGGTTTTATTCAACTCTATATGTAGCTATATTTGCCATTACGAACTTGTATATGACTTTGTACCCTTGACATAGCCGCTATTTCCTCATTCGAATGTACACCACAGTGCAACAAATCGTACGCGTTGTTTGCCTCGGTATAATTACCCTCGCCACCAGCACGCCTATCCCATCCAACTATCACCGCTCCTTCGATTCAAATCAATAGCTGTTCCATTGTTGTTTCTGGGCCTAGTTTCTTCTTGTTACGTTCACTTCGACATCAATCCCAGTCTTAGGAGTCTCGTGAAGGCCAAACAGGAGAAGAAAAACAATAACGAATAGATGACTAGAATTACATTTGCCTACGTATGTGCAATTCAGAACCCTGCTTGAGCGGGCTCCCGACAACGCAGATTCACCTAATCTCGAGGCTTCCGCACCCCACTCACTCCCGACGCGACGTCCCTTCCCAAAGAAATCCGAAAAACGTCACCCGTCCCGTTTCGGAAAGAAAATATAACTGGATAAAGCGTGGCAGAAGGCAAATCAAGGGGCTGTCTTGTCGCCAAATGTCCCACGTTTACTAGATCATCGCGCATGCACATCTCAAGCACTTGAGCCGGCGGAAAGCGGTCGCGAGAAGCAGGCCGCAGCAGCAGCGAGGGACGGTGCGTTCGCGATGACATTAGTTGACGAGCGACCATGGTAACATTTCGAGACGACCATCGTGACGTTTCACGATAACATTCGCTGGTCAGTGGTACGCGAGCTTTGACATTTCCTCCATCACAGGCGGGCACAGCACGCTCAGTCGCGCGGGGTTGAAGTGCTTCGCAACGGGGCCCAGGCTGACCGTTGGAAGCGAGCATTCCTCGAATACCCCCGCGCTGATCATGGTGCCGACGCACGACACGAGCGTGGAGAAGAGGAAGATGGACCCGCAGAAGATCGGCATCATCGCGTTCAGCTCCATAACGAGGACGTCAACAATCGCGCCGGAAACGAGCCGTTCACAATGAGGTTTATTGCACGTAGGTGCAAAATGAGTAATAAACAACGGCGTTGTGGGATCGAAATGACTTTCTGCCCAAAAGCACGTGAGGAAATGCCAGATGCTCGTAGGAGCAGACACCCTCACGGCTGATAGCGGTGCTGAAGAAATCAGACAGAGAGGCTATCTGAAGAATCAAACAGAGAGGCCGACACGGTTCTATGGATGGAGGCTCTAGCGTCTGAGATCGCCGAATGTGTTTCGAAACACTGAGGCTATGCTTTTATCCAGAATCGTCTCATCAAACATTGCACTGGCGCGATGAGTTCCTTCCACCTCTCGTTCCATCGTATCAAGCAGACGCGATGCGGGCGACATTGACGCCAACATTATGACATGCAAGCACACACGACGTCCGTGACGAGGAAAGGCGATTCGATTCTTGGGACTAAGGTGAACAGACTGAATTGACCGACTCGTAGGAGGACACACCTTCTTACCCTCCCCAACAGGAAGCAGCGTTTGAAAGGACATGGTGTTTCGAGCCGCACAGCCATTCTGGATTTGGATGGTCCCCCCAAATTTCACAAGCCAACACAGAACAGCTCCAGCCAGACCCGATTTTAGCAATCAAGTGCTGTAGCTACAGTTCGCCAGTTAGCAACAGACGAACATGACCTCCCTGAGAGGATCAGTCCGAATTGGAACGATCAACAGAAGGCGAGCACTGGCCAGTGGCCACTCAACAGCACAATGAGCAGGTGAAAAAACAGTGGAATAATATCAAGTGCAAAATGGGGTAGTGTACTGTAATGTACGCAATGCAACCCACCCTCTACATCACAAAGGTACACAACTTGGCAGCTCCACAAACCGAATGAACTTTCAAGTTCGGTGGGACATTGGAACAACGAAGAACAGCCCTGTATGTACAAGGCTGTACGTACTAGAAGAACTAGCGGTAGTGTTCGGTTCTCTGCATGCCTCTATTGCCCACCGACGGTACCTGACAGATGCAAATCAGCGTGCGCGGTTGGATAATACCAAAATCCGAGCCGTCGAAACAAGCCACAGCCTGCGACTCGTTGCGAGGACAAGTGGTCATATGGATCCCGCCCGTACGTCGTCGTTTTCAGGTTGAGAGAAGGAACGCAAGGGTGAAATGCGGACAAGCACGTTTCCTACACACGTCGAAGGACAAGAAATTCCGCAGGATAATGGTAGAATTTACAAAGAGGACGAAAGAAGGGATAGTGTTGTGGGTGTGTGCTTGTGGTACTGTACATTCTCGGGGCGGGGGAAGCGGTTGAGTATGGTTCTGTGCAATTCGGAGCTGTTAGCTATGCTCTCTGGCGTGAATGGTTTCTCGCATACAAGGCGGAAATATTCGTTCAAGCTGTGGACCAACTCCTATGACGCGGACAGCTACACTTTCAGTCAAGAATGAACATAAGCATTTGTACAATCCCCAACTTCTATTGACTTCTATTGAGGGAACAATGGATTTCTTCAGGGTCTTCAACCCAGCATTTCGTGAAGCAGAGTTATCAGTTGGCTTTAAGGAGCACAGCTTTGAATTCGCCTTATCGCGACGAAGCGATTGGTACACTTTTAATGTTCATGACGCGAACATCGTATCATCAGCTTCTCGGGATCTGCTGTTTTCGCTTCTTTAATCCAAGCAATCTCAAGGCTTCATCAGCTGACACCCTGTCATTGATTCAATATGCTTAACGAGAGTTTACCAAAGGGATTCCTGATTGGCTATTCATATTTCATGGCGTTTCCAAGGCTACTGATGATCACCCACAGGTCTTATCAGCAACAAATCAGCACTTGTATCAAGAACACTGGTCTGATGGGAAGTCGCCAAGACTATATTATACTGGGCTCAGACATTTCGCAGCTCAGGCATTTCGAGCCTTTCTTAACCAACTGCTGCTGTTTTTTTGCTCATCATCGCCCTATGGCGCGTCCACCCCCTAAGGAACGTGCTCCGACCATGCCGAAGCGTGCCGCTGCTGGTGGTGCTGTTTCGGATCCTAAAGGCAAGGGGAAACAAGTGGAGGAGAATGAGCCGACTACCCCAGTTGCTGGAAGTTCAGGCTTATCATTGGAGGAAAAACTGGCTGCACTCACCTCTGCGCATGTTATCGACAATTATGATGACTTCACAGACGATGACTCGGACACAGAGTTGGAGTTCGAGATATCCAGTGACTCTGCTGCAAAGCTTCGCTACACGGCGATCCTGCTTCTGCCTCTCGTGTTGCAACCGGAAATCGCCTTGGTCATCGTCACTGCGCGGATGCTGTTAAAGCGTGTTTGGTCTTCATTGCTTTCTGATGGAGCTAACACGAAGGTTGACTTTCAGGACATTCATCCTGCGTACGTCGCAAAAACCAAGTACAGTCTCCTGCAGTTATCATTTCACAAAGAAGAGGATGCCATTAAAGAGTGGCAATCGGCTCTGGAGTATCAGAAGCCGAACGGCAAATCATACCCGCTGCATTGGCTTCATACTGAAAACGCGGCCTTCGCTAAGGAGAAAGCTACAAACCCACGAGTTATCGAAGTGGTTTTCAAGGACATACCTGCGAACATTACACCAGAGGCTGTTGAGGAGCTGTTGGTGAAGTACAAGTTGAAGGTCCGGCAGGTCACGCCTTTCCTGGAGAGCCATTGCTTCCACCGGGTTGTGCATCCTGTATCTGGAGCTAACACAGGGGTTATTAAGGGACTAGTGGTTCCACATCCGGAGGAGAAGAAGAGGCGTTGGATTCATCAGGTCAATCACCTGTAGGAGAAGGGCAAGACACTCTTGGTTCATTACCCTGTGCTCTCCTGTCGGCTCTGTGGGGGATGGCACTATGATAAGTACCATGACGCCTTCATCACAGACCGACAGCATAACATAGGGAAATGGAGCTTGAGTTTAGGTCGTGTGCACGGGATTAACGGTAACAGTGCAGCTGCTGGGTTTCATGATCCTGTTCCTCTTACTTGTTCTTCGAATACTAACCACTCCGCCGCTTGTCGCAGCTTCCTCACTAACTGCAACAAGTCTTGTTCGTCCGATCCTGCTCGACCAGCCGATTGTGTTGATCTCCACCGGAAGTTCCAGGGAGGAATGGATCTGCACTCAGATCTGCTGCGGGAAAGCACACGGGAAGCTGTTTGTCGCTGCTGCAGAGCATGTCACCTCGGCACGCCATCTGCACGGTCAGGGAGAGCTTGGTGCTGTTACTCGGCTGACGAGGAAGAAAGAGAATCTTCACACTGTCCGCAAGGAGTATGGGATTTAATGGCTCCGGAGAAACTTACCCTGGCGATAGCAGCTGGTTCGGCGTTGACTGCTCTGTTCTGTATCACCTGCCTGTGGATGCGTAGAGGCGATCAAGGAGTTATTAAACGAGTACACGAAACACCCTGTCGCTTGCGGGCCTGAATGTTAACGGCCTGGGAGATTTCACGAAGTGGAAACGTACAACGGCATGGATTAATAGCAGAAAAGGAGCAGATGTAATGGTTTTGTCAGATACCCGAATAGCAGATGATCACACTTACTGGCCTTCTCTTAACCTCACCTCTCGTGCTGTCGCCTCGTCTGTGACACGAGCTGGTGATGTTGCAGTCCTGAGCCGGCGACCAGATCTATCTTTTCACAACCTATTAGCTCACCCCTCCGGACGTCTAGTTAAGGTGGAAGTCCACTGCTCGAACCTTCGCCTTACTTTAATAGCCACTTACCTTCCTGCAGACAAAGCCGAAAAAAGAGCCTTCATTAGATTAGTACTTGGTCCGGTTATTAACCACATCCAGTCAGGCACTCACTTGCTCATCCTAGGAGATTTAAACACCATAGAAAATCCACTGCTTGACAAGACCTCCCGCCATGGATCAACAAGAGAAAACGACTTCCTCTATCATCACTGCAGAGATTTTGCTATCGCAGATGCTTTCCGCTTTCTCCACCCAAATGATCGAGAATTTACCTTCTATTCGCAGGCGCATCAGGAGAGCACACGGATTGATCGCGCTCTGGTTTCTCAATCCCTGCTCCCATGCCTGATGTCGGCTGAGCATGTTTCACCAGACGAGCAAGTCTCCGACCATGGTTTTGCCATCCGTGCACTTTTCAAGCTTAAGTCGCAGTTGAAGCTGGGTCCGGGTGTTTGGCGTCTTCACCCTTTTCTGTTGGGGAGACCAGGGGCTAAAAAGAAAATCGAGGAAGTGGAGCGATTGATCACACAGAATGGAGGGGGGTTTGCGTCTCTCATCTCGCGCCTGAGCAACAGTCTGCGATCATATGCAAAAGAGGAAAGCAAGAGAATAAGGGCGACCATCAACCATCTCACTACAACGGTGGCTGCATTGCGTCAGGAGGTCATGCAGAACCCCAAAGATCAAGTCATGAAGGAACGGTTGGGGAGACGGGAGCAGCAACTTAAGGAATACTTCGCATGTCGGCAGGAGAGAATGCATACAATGGCTGGGATGGAGCTTGCATTGTCAGGGGAAGTCCCCTCGCCACATCTGTCAGCACGCATAAAGACACGGAAGGTCAAAACGCAGATAGCGGAGATATCGGTACCAGGAGGGGTGGTGACGGAACCAAAGGGGATTCTGGAAGCAGCTGCAGGGTACTTCCGTAGCCTCTTCGGGGAGGACAAGCGGACAATGTCTTCAGACTGGTGTCCAGCGGCTGGGAAGAAGCTGCTGTATTCGGATGTGGAAAATCTACAGGCGGATTGGTCAGAAAAGGAAGTCAGGCAAGCGCTGAAGGAGATGGCAAGTAACAAGATGCCTGGGAAAGATGGGTTACCGAAGGAGGTGTTTGAGCTGCATTGGGACACGCTAGGGAAGCATGTCATGGGGCTGGCTCAAGACTTCGCTCTCACCTCTATACTCCCGACCAGTGTGAAGGATGCGGTGACGATACTCCTGCACAAGAAAGGAGCAAAGGACCAGTTGGATAACTATCGTCCTATCACGCTCCTGAACATCAGCTACAAAGTGTTGGCGCTAGTCCTGGCGAGCAGAATTAAAAAATTTCTTCACAGAGTGATCTCATCGGAGCAGTTCGGTTATATTCCGGGGCGACGAATGTCAGATGCAGTGGGGCTGGTCGCTGATATCATTGATGCGGCCAAGAATGGGAGAGAAGACTGGTATATGCTGTTGGTTGACTTCAAGAAGGCGTTTGACTCGGTGTCCCGCGACTTCATTTTTGACGTGATGGGGAAAATGGGTTTCCCGGCTCGGTTCGTCGGTTGGGTAAGAGGCCTGCACACAAACACACGGACGAACCTCTTGATCAACGGCTGGATGGGAGATGCAGTGGAGGTGGTTTCAGGAGTAAGGCAGGGTTGCCCCTTAGCACCCTACCTCTTCCTCTGTGCGGTGGAGCCTCTGGCGCAGAAAGTGATAAAGCGGAAGATTGGAATCTTGCTCACCAGCTGCGTCGGTTAGAGGTTGGGCTACATTGGTTATGCAGATGACACGACTCTCCTGCTACAAGGAAAACAACAAATTGGGAAGGCGGAGGAGGTGTTAGAGGAGTTTAAAGAAATCTCGAGATTAGAGACGAACAAGGGGAAGTCAGTGGTGATGCCTTTGGGAGCTAACCTGGGGAAAAAGACTTGGCGGACCGACGGGTTTCGTTGGGCAGACGCTAACGAAGCTGAGAGACTCCTTGGGGTGTGGATTACACCGAACGAAAGTTGTCAGCCGACGTGGGATAAGGCGCTGCAAAAAAATGCTGGGAAAATGACGTTGTGGCAGCCGCAATTCCTCCCGATTAAGGCTCGGACAGCGGTGATGGACGGGTACATACTGCCGATTGCTTGGTCCCAGGCTCAGGTTTATCCGCCGCCTGCGCAAACCTGGAGAGAGATCATGAAAATGACGCAGAATTTCATGTCAGCGAACAAGGTCTCATCGGAGAAATGCTTCAACCTCTGGAGCAAGGAACTCCTGTTCACACCGGTACTGGAAGGGGGAGTGGGAGCGAAGAATCCTGAAGCGATGCTCACCTGCTTGACGGCGAGGAGGATTGGACTGATACTCACGGAGACGGATCAATTAAAGAGAGAGCTGATGCGTCAGGCGGCTGACTTGCCAAGAGGAATGGAAACATTCATGGCACATGAGAAGCTGTTGAAGGCATGGGAAGGGAAAAGCGAGCGCTGGAAGCTAGCTTGCGCAAATTTCATGCGGTCCCCGCTGGCAAAAACCACGGAGGAGCGAGAGGTTAAGGAGCTGCTGCTGGAGAGGATCACGTTTAACAGACATATTCTCATGAACGGAACCACGCCAGTAGGAGGGCAGAAAGCGGCGACAAGGCTTCTGAACGTCAGACTGGGAGATCTTGTCGGGAGAGATGCAAAAGGGAAAGGGGTGCTGAAGAGCCTTGAAACCCTAGAGAGAGAGCTGCGGGGGAAGGACTCGGCAAACCTTGCGCTCAAGGCTTTTGCGGTTGCGCCAGAATCGTGGAAGAACCGGCTCATCTCGGCTGATCTTCCGAACATGAGCTTTGCGGACGAGTATGAGGTGAGAAGAGGCGGCCCTTTGCAGCTCCGGAGGAAGCTATTGGCAGATGGAATACCGGTTCTGCTGCGGTCGCTCCGGAAACACTGGAAACATGGCAACGGTGGAAAGAACAAGCGGGAGAAATGGGCAAGTCGGTGGGGCGGCACCATTGATTGGGAAAAGGCAGTCCGGATTCGTGAATCGCTGGTCACCCCAAGTCGACCGAGGGACGTCCTGCTGCGAATACACTGCCTCAACCTACAAGTGGGGGAAAGACTGGGATTTCTCAGTAGCAAACCAGTCTGCCCGCATTGTGGGGGGTTTGAGACACTGGAGCACTGTCTTGTGGAGTGCCCGAAAATTCAGGGGGTGGTTTCGGCGGTCAAAAAAGCATTGCGGATGATCAACCCGGGAAGGAAAGGAGACACACTTGGCGAGTGGCTGTTTGGCAAGGAGGGGTCCCAGTCAGCATTTCCCGAGGCCTCATTGGTTGCGATTGCCGTGCACCAGTTGTGGGCGGAAAGATGTGAGGGAGCCTTCAGGGGCTGTAAATTCCGCACGCGGAGAGTCCTCCGGAGGATTGAGTCTGCCCTTCGCATGCATGTCAACGTTTACGTGCGTGCCTTGGCAACAAGGATGCAGCAGCGAGGGAAAGTTCAGCAGGCCAGGTGGCAGAAAGTGACGGGGCAAGAACGTGACCTTCTGAATCGCATCAGAGTACTGGACGGCAAAAGTTGGAAGTGGTCCAACAGTTTCGCGGCAATTTGGGGCAAACCTCGCAGGCCCCGGATCCATGTCTGAGGATCGAATTCTCTGAGGCGGGACTTCCTGTCTCCAATGCACAGTTACGACTGTTTATGCGTTGTACACTTGTGTTCTGGTGTATAATTCATATAAGCAAAAAAAAAAAGACGCCGAATTACTGATTGGAGCACTTTATAGATTCCATTTATGAGAAAAAAAAAATTCTAAACATAAACAATAATGAAGCATAAGACTAGCAACTAGCCCACCTTGGTCAGGCAAGTATCTGGCTTGCAGGTAGCGAGTAGTTGCAGCAAGCACAGACGCACAGTCAAGCTTTACCAAGAGCACATCAGCAGCGGTGCTTTCAGCGAGGAGCCAGCAGTTTGTTAGTTCAGGGGCATATGGAAGCAACAGTGCTTGGAGAGTGTTACGGCAGCATATGGCAGCATATGGCCGCCATGTTAGTGGTTGTAATGGTAGAAGGTCACATGGGGTTCGTTACTCAGGCGGAAGAATAGGGGAGCGGGAGTTTGAAAGGGGAACAGGGAGGAAAGGTGATCCCATAAGTTCCGCTGCCGCTGCTATTGCTGCTGCTGTTGCTACTGCTGCCTAACTCTTTCTGCTTCATCCATGCTTGTGTCCCCCTCATCATCATCCTCCTCATCATCATCATAATCATCGTCATCATCATCCTCGTCACTGTTCCCGTCGTCCTCGTCATCAAAATCCTCGTCATCATCGTCGTCTTCCAGGTCATCGTCATCGTTATCCGAGAAATTGTCGCCGTCGGATCGGTGCGACGGGCTTCTCTCGTCGTCAGGCGGGTTGAGCATGCGGTTGATCTGCTGCCCGAGAGCCACCCAGCTGCAAAGGGAATGAGAGTAAAGGTGAATGAAAAGGGAGGAGAATGGCATGAGTGAGATGATCTGACAAAAAACCAGGAGGGAGTGCTAATATCTGCTAAGCATGTGATTTATTTGATAGAGCAGGACTCACTGTCCCAGTAGATGGCATTGCCCGTCCACATGCAGGCGAGGAGAGAGCCAAGGCAGCAGCAGCTGATAGGGGAGAACTCACTGGTTGAACAGTTGGCCGACGAAGGCCAGGCCGACAGACAGAGCCATGACGAGCCCGAGAGTGCCAGCGAAGTTGGAAGACATGTCCCAATCGATGGCCATGGCCAATGCGCATGCGAACAGCACCACCTCTGCGCTTGAGCTCACTGCTTCCACCACCTGCAGGCCTTGCTCCGTGAAGGGCTGTTGGGGAGGGTGTGGAGCAGGGGGAAGGGTGGAAAGGGGAGAGAGTTGTGGAGAAGTTGGAGGACATGTCCCAATCGATGGCCGTGGCCAGCGCACACGCGGATAGCACCACCTCTGCCCCTGAGCTCACTGCTTCTACCACTTGCAGGCCTCTCTCCGTGAAGGGCTGTTGGGGAATAACACAGGGAGGGTGGGGAGACAGGGATTTGAGTCCAAAGAGGTTTGCATTCTCTGAGACCACAGCACATCCGCTGCTCCTGATCTCACTACCTGCACCACCTGCAGCCCTCGCTTTGTGAGATGAACTCAAAGGAGGACTGCGCTTATAACGAGTGTGAGGCGGACCTGGAGGAAGAGCAGGTGCAGCAGGTGAGGCCGAGTGGGCATGCTTGCTGTGCGGACGTGAAGGAAGACTGTGCTTATAACGAGTGCAGAATGCACCTGGAGGAAGACTGTGCTTATATCAAGTACAGAACGCACCTGGAGGAAGACTGTGCTTATAACGAGTACAGAACGCACCTGGAGGAAGAGCAAGAAGAGCAGGTGCAGCACGGAGAGGGTGAGCAGACACGCTTGCTGTGCAATGGCGTTGCCTGTCGGACTCCATGCCCCCACCAGCGCCCCCACCAGCACCTGCACACAGCGAGAGACAGACACACGTGCAACACAGAGAAGAGAAAGGATTTTTTGAGAGTGTGTGTGTGTGTGCATGGGAGCAGGTGCAGTAGCGCAAGGGCTTTCTGTGCCACGGCGTTGCCTGTCGGACTCCATGCTCCCACCAGCGCTCCCACCAGCACCTGCACACAGCGATAGGCAGATACAGAGAAGAAGAAAGGGCGAGCACGCATGCTTGTGTGTGTGAGCGTGTGTGTGCACGGGAGCAGATGCAACAAGGCGAGGGCGAGCACGCATGCTTTCTGTGCCACGGCATTGCCTGTTGGACTCCATGCTCCCACCAGCGCTCCCACCAGCACCTGCACACAGCGAGGCACACACAGACAGACACACAGACATGTAGAGAGGCAGAGTGAATAAAGAAAACGTGGGCCAAGGTGTGTGTGAGCGTACACCCTCCACAAACAGCACTTACGTTCCATTTTTAAGAAAGTAGGGTGTGACAATGGAGGTACCCTACAATGTAGGTACATTAAATGAAATGACATGGAATGGACTCACTGAAGCCGTGCCTACCATTTCAAGGAAGTACAGAAAAAAGGGAAGGGAGGGAGGGGAAGGGAAAGAGGGGAGGGGAGGGGAAGGAGGAGAGAGACGGGCAGAGGAGGGAAAGGGGAGAGGAGAAGGTGTTTGGGGGACAGAAGGAGGAGGTGGTTTATGGGACTTGAGAAGATGGTTCTATAAGCCGCTTCTGCCGCAGCACGGCCCAAAAGGCGCGGGCAAAGGAGGCAATGCACGCCTCGTTGCGCGGCTCGGTCATCGCGCGCACGAAGAAGTGTGCGAATTTCCCCTGAAGAAGGGAGATGGGAGAGAGAGGAAGGGGAGGGAAGAGAGAGCGGAGGTGAGGATGGGGTTCCGTCATCTCGCGCACGAAGAAACACGCGAATTGCTCCTGGAGGGATTGAGAGAGGTGAGGAAGGGTGGAGAGTGAGAGTGGCTAGGGTAGGGGTGAGAGACATCTGAAGATGCATTCCTCGTTGCATCTTTGCACGGAGCGGAGGTGAGGATGGGGCTCCGTCTTTCCTCGTTGCATCCTCAATTCGCACAAAGAGGCGCGCGAATTGAGGCGCCTCAAAAGTCGCCTCAAAAGAGACGCGCGAATTGCTCCTGAAGGCAAAACAGGGCGGAGCGGGAGGAGGGACGGACGAGAGAGGGGAGGTGAGGACATAACCTCTTCATCTCCTTCACAAAGAAGCACACGAATTGGACCATACAACCAATTAGAGTTTAGGGTGGCGCGAACAATGCTTCGGACCCGACCCTCCCAACCCAACCCAACCCCCCACCGAGCACCCCACCCAAACCCCCACCCCACCGAAACCTGCACCCACACGCACCTGAACGACAATGTATCAGTCGACCGAGAAGGAGAAGATGAGGAAGAGCACGGGCCAGAGGCACAGCACTATCACCCCTACCGCCAAACCTGCTGCTCAACCAGCACTTGTACCCACCGGAACCACTCTGAACTGAACCCACCCCAACGCACCTGGACGACAATGTATCAGACGACCGAGAAGGAGAAGATGGGGAAGAGCACGGGCCAGAGGCACAACATTGTCACCCCCACGAGTTGGAAGAGCGCAACACGCACCCCTGCTATTAAACCCACTAGAACCACGCATTTGCCCAACCGAACCAGATTCAACGCACCTGGACAACAATGTACCAGACGACCGAGAAGGAGAAGATGAGGAACAGAACCGGCCAGAGGCACAGCACGATCACTCCCACCGTCAGCCCACCCTTGAACCCACCAGAACCACTCTCAACCCAACTCAAACCACCTGGAAAACAATGTACCAAACGATCGAGAAGGAGAAGATGAGGAAGAGCACGGGCCAGAGGCAAAGCACAATCACCCCCACGGCAAGCCCTGCCGCCGTTCCTCCCGCCTCCATGCTGCCTCGGATGAGCAGCGTGCAGCCCCAGGAGATGCCGGCCAGGGAGAGCGCGAGGAGGAGGAGGAAGTGGAGACCCACAGCCAGCACCTCTTTCAATCACCCACACACCCACCAATCTGTCCGCACGCCAACCCAACCCCACTGAACCCAACAGCACCCACCTGAACGACGATATACCAAACGACAGAGAAGGAGAAGATGAGGAACAGAACCGGCCACAAGCACAGCACGATGACCCCCACGGCCAGCCCAGCCGACGTTCCTCCCGCCTCCATGCTGCCTCGGATGAGCAGCGTGCAGCCCCAGGAGATGCCGGCCAGGGAGAGTGCGAGGAGGAGGAATTGGAGGTGCAGCGGGTGGAGGAGGCCGGAGAGGCAGTGGTGGCGGCAGTGGTGCTAGGCGCACTGGATGAGGAGGTGCAGGAGGGAGAGGGCAGAGAAGAAGAGGGCAAACCAGAAGAGCACCGTGCAGAACTGCTCAAAGCTGGCAGGGTGGGGGGGGAGGAGGGGGGTAAGGGAGGGGGAGAGGGATGGGGAGAGAGAAAAGAGAAGCTGGGTTCGGTTGAGCCATTGGGGGGGAGGAGAGAAGAGGGAGAGAGAGCGCAAGGAGGAGGAACTGCAGGCGCGGCGGGTGGAGGAGGCCGTGGAAGCAGTGGTGGCGGCAGTGGTGCCAAGCGCACTGGATGAGGAGTTGGAGGAGGGAGAAAGAGGAGAAGAAGAGGGCGAACCGGAAGAGTACCGTGCAGAACTGCTCAAAGCTGGGGTGGGGAAGGGGGAGGAGGGGAGGGGGGTGCAGGGAGGGGAGAGAGGTGGGGAAAGAGTGGGGAGGACTGAGGAATTAGGATGGGGGGGGAGTGGGGAAGGGGGTTGAGTGGGGAAGAGGGGAAGGTTGAGGAGAGAAAGAAAGAAGCAGAGCGGTTGGGCTGGGTTGAGCGCAAACCACGATGGGATGGGACTATGCAGGACAGCCAAACCCGAGGAGCTGAGGATCTGAGAGAAATACATTGAGGACGACACATGGCACAAGTCATTCAGCAAATCGCAAGGCCGCCTGCTTACTCATGGTAGGAGTAGAAGAGGTTTGGGAAGTGCGAGTAATAAGCACCACGGAGCAGCAGCGGAGTATGAGCACATGGCATGGGTCATACAGGCTACAGCCATGCGGAAGGGTCGCTTACCCATGGTAGGAGTAAAAAAGGTTGGGGAAGTGCGAGTAGTAAGCATCGCCCCACGCTTGCATGTACTCATACTCCTCGCTCAGCCGTGGCAGCTGCGTCGGGTCAAACCCCTTTGCTGCTGCCACCGCTGCTGCATCCCCCCCTGCCCCGCCCCCTATCAGAGCAGTTGCGTTGAAGCCACGGTGACCGCTTGCAGTGCTTTTGATGGTGGTGTTGGCGGTCGTTTCTTGAAGCATGCGGTGATAGTGGGTGGGCGGATGAGATGATAGGGACGACGGGAGGAGAGTATGGGATGGAAAGGCGAAGTGAAGGGTGGAGGGTAAGGAGGAGGGGAGTGATGCGGGTTTCAAGGGCACGCCTCGTAGGAGGAGCGTGGGTGGGGGCGAGAAGGGGATGGGTTGGATGGGGAGGGCTCAGGACGATCCCAGGCTGCGGCCGTGGGACAAGGTTGAATGCGATAGGCTTGAATGTGACATGGCATGCCGCATGTGCACATGTGACGTGGTTGGTTGCCGTGCTTTCATGTGCGCGTGGGCATGTGCATGGGGCGGCAAGGAGTCGGCAGTATTGAAGCGGTCGCGGAGAGAGGGAGAGGAGCGCACAGCGTGTGAATGGGGCATACGGTGGAATTGCGAGGGCGAGGGAGAGGAGAAAGAGGAGAGGAGGGAGTGGAGAGAGGAGGAGAGGACGCGGCGAAGGTTGCGCGGGTGGAGGGGAGAGTGGGACTCGTGGAGGGAGGAGTCTGTTACTGTGCTGTGTGTTGCTGTGCTGCGCGCTGCTGCTGTTGTGCTGTCAGCTGCTGTGCTGGCTGCTGCTGCTGGAGAGGAGAACGTTGACCAGGAAGAGAGCCTGTATTGTGTGGAGTCAGAGGGGATGAAGGAGGGGGAGGAGGCGGCAGAGCTGTCTGTCCTGGTGGCGAGATAGTGCCTGGTGGGAGGGAGGGGAGGGATGGGGAGGGGAAGAACAATGGGTTAGAGGTCGGAACTGAGGGCTGAGAGGGGTTGAGAGAGCAAGAGGCGGCAGAGCTATCCGTCTTGGTGGCAAGGTAGTGCCTGGTGGGACGGAAGGGAGAGATGGGGAGGGAAAAACAATGGGTTAGAGGTAGGGACGGAGGGGTTGAGATGGGCTGAGGGGGGTTGGAAGAGGGGTTGAGGCAGCGCTGTCTGCATTGGCGGCGAGATTTAGCCTGGTATGTGGGAGGGGAGAGACGGGGAAAGAGGGATGGAGGCCGGTGTTGAAAGCGGGGTGATCTTTGAGGCGCCTCAGAGGGGAGAGACGGGGAAAGAGGGATGGGGGACGGTGTTGAAAGCGGGGTGGGCGAGGCATGGGACGCGACTCAAGTATTGAGAGCAGGGAGGTGCGCTCAAGCATGAGCGCTAAGTGAAGAATTTCCCTAAGCAATCATGGCACACAGGAGGGCAGAGAGGTGCTGTTCCCCTACCTGCCCAGGTGCGTCGGTGGAAGAGGCATATATACACGCCCTTCCACCCATCAAACGAGCATGACTCGACAACATGTGACTCAACAGCATGTGGCTCATACGGATTGATTTGCGACAGGCATCAACACCAAGTACTCACTGCGCACAGGAAGGAGGGGCGGTGCTGTTGTCCTGCCCGGGTGTGTCAACGGGAGAGGTGTGAACGCCCTTCCAGCCGTCAAAGGAGCCCCTGAAGGGCGCGGGGAGGTAGAAGTAGGTCCAGCGCAGCCCCCCTGTGAGCTGGCGGTAGAAGAGCGGCAGCACGCGCACTGCTAGGTTCTGCGTGAGAGCAAACACTTGCAGATGCAGGGCCATGCGCTGAGGGGGGAGAACAAGGGGAGTGTACAAGGGGAATGGAGAGGGAGAGAGAAGGATTTAGCCCCCCTGTGAGCTGACGGTAGAAGAGCGGCAGCACCCGCGCTGCCAGGTTCTGCGTGAGAGCAAACACTTGCAGGTGCAGGGCCATGCGCTGCAGGGAAATGGGCGGGGGGAAGGGTGAGTGGGGAAGGGTGACAGGGAAGGGAGACAAGGAAATGAGAACAGTGAGTGGGGACACGCAAAGACATGCCATGACATGCCATGCCATGCCATGCCATGCCATGACACATCACTTACCCGAATGCTCCTGGAGGGGAGACGACAGCTCGGAAGGGGCGGTATGAGACGAGACGATGCGAATGGTGGGCAAGGAGGAGGTGGAGTCGGCCGGACCGGGCTGCACCAGTCAGTCACCATCTCGCAAATGGTGGGCTGCTTGATGGTGACTGACTGGAGTGCTGAGCCTCTCACACACACATTGCTGGAGAGAAATCAGAGAAGAAAGCTCACCAGAATGTTCGTGGAGGGATCAGCCCCCACCACGGGCGTGCTAACGGCATGGAGTCCACCCCACCACTGCCGTAACCACCCACGCTGCTATCGTGCCCGCATCGCCTGGGGCGTCTGGTGCAGGAGAGGGAGAGGGAGAGGGACAGGGAGAACACGGGGCAGGAGGGGGGGAAACGGGGGTGGGAGAGTGGGAAAAAACGGGGAGAGAAGGGAACAGGTGAGGATGGGGAAGCAGGGGCAGCATGGGGAGGAGGTGGGGTCGGACTCTTTGATGGTGACTGCAAGGGAGGGAGACGGCTGCTGTGGAGAGTGCGATCCAGCCCACGACAACCGTCACCACCCACGCTGCTATGGTCCCCGCATCTCCCGGGGCGTCTGCATGGGTCCAAAGAGAGAGGAAGGGGGGAAAGAGAGGGGAAGAGAGGGGAAAAAGGGGCAGAGAGTGCCAAAAAGGAAGGGGGAACGGGAGGGAGGATGGGGAAAAGAGGGGAGCATGAGGAGGTGGTGGGGTTGGACACCTTGATGGTGAGAGAGCTGTCCACCCCACCACTGCTGTCACCATCTACGCCGCTATGCTGCCCGCGTCTCCTGGTGCGTCTGGTGCACTAGAGCATTAGAGGCGGAGGGAGAGGGGAGAGCAGAAGGGGGAAGGGAGGGAAAAGGGGGAAGGGAGGGAAAAGGGGGAAGGGAGGGAAAAGGGGGAAGGGAGGGAAAAGGGGGCAGGGAGGGAAAAGGGGGCAGGGAGTGCGACGGGGGTAGAGAGGGGACAGCAAGGGGAGGAGAGGGAAAAACGGGAAGATGGAGAACAGGGGCGAGCACAAGGAGGTGGGGTTGAAGTCATTGATGGTGCAGGGAGTTTTTGAGAATTGTCAAAAACTCCCAGCAAGGGAGACTGCTGCTGCTGTTGAGCGAGCCATCCCACAACGGTGGTGCGCTGGGATGGGGAGAGAGCAGCACTGTGTGAGGACTGCGTGATATAAAAGTGTGCAAGGGAGAGTGTAAACCCACAATATATGAAAGAGGAGAGTGCGTGCTAACCAGCAGTGAGCAAGGGAGAGTGTTAACCCAGTGTGTGAGGGAGAGTGAGAGTATGTTGGAACATACAGTGAGTGAGGGAGAGTGTGTTAGAGGGCGTGTTGAGGTTGCCTGCTATGTCCACCACCTTTGCTGCCGGCACCGATACAGTCACATGGCCATTGCTCACTGCTGCCACCGTCACCTCGTAGTACCGCCCCAAACCCCTGTCCACTCCTGTCCAGCTGGAACAAGGGAGATGGCAGGATAAGGAAGGCATGGAGGGGGGGGATTGAGAGGGATGAAGGGAAAGGAGTACAGTGATCACTCACTGCTGCTACTGTCACCTCGTAGTACCGCCCCAAACCCCTGTCTACACCAGTCCAGCTGGAAGAATAAAGGGAGATGGCAGGGTAAGTGAGAAGGGAGATGCTTTGCCTTGTCTGTCCATTGCTGCTACTAGTACAAAGGACCGTTCGAGGGAGATGGAGAGGGGTGACAGGAAAAGAATACAGTCACATTGCCATCACCACCTGCCACCATTGTCACCTCGTAGTACCGCCCCAAACCCTTGTCAGAATATGATGGGGGCATGGTGTGGGGAGATGGAAAACGGATGAAGGGAGAAGAGAACAACACAGACACATGTCACCGTTGCTCACTGCCACCACTGTCACCTCGTAGGACCACTTTGAACCACGTGATAGGCGCATGCGCGCATGTCCCATGCCTTTCCGTGCCATACCAGCAGCCGTTATCTCACTGAAGAGGCGATGAGACCGTTGGAGAGCTGGATAGAGGAGCTGTTGAATTGAATCCCAGCACAGGCTCTGAGAATGAGACGATGAGGATGAATGGGGTGGACCCTGTTGTTCAGGATCCGTCACTTTGAGAACTTACGACGAACTCATTACTCAACTAAACACAAATCCGCTCGGTAGGATTGTGCGCCTTAGGCTTAGCTACCATCTCTAAGTTGAATCAGTCTTTAAGATGGTCTAGAGAGTGAGAACCATGTAAAAAACGTCCAGCAGCCGCATAACTAGAATGGTAGAGGAACTACAAGCATGTAGGCATAGAAAGTTGGAGTTGGGAACCTCCAAGATAACCATGAGAGGGAAGGGGTTCTCCAAGAGCTAGGGAAGGATGGTAGGAACCTTCCTAGCAGCAAGGATGCAACCCTCATCATGAGGTCCTTGAGGTTTCACATGCAAAATCCAATCTAGTTGGATTTTGCCTAGGTGTTGCAAAATTTGCAACCCATGCTAGAAACTTCTAGCCACCCCAATCCAAAAGTCAAAGTTGCCTTCCCTAACCACCCAACCAAAGATCCCTTTATAGTCATGTCCCAAGTAATCACCCAAATTAGATATAACCCCAAAAGGTAATAAGAAATCCAAGTCTTGGAAATCTTGTAACTTGGGCGATCTTGGTCGGAATAAGGCGATCTTGGTATCGTTGGAAAGCTCTGGATTTCTCCTGCATGATCAAGCATTTAGACTTGGAGAAAAACACAGAGATGATAATATCCAACAGCCATGCATAATGACATATGCTCATGCAAATCATGCAAGCACAAATAGCACGAGCACTCGGCAGGACGTTAGGATGACATGCACTCAGAATGACGTGCATCCAACAAACTCCCCCTCATACTAACGGACTGCATGCACATATACTCACACAGATGCTAACTCTCATGCACACAATCACACATGCACTCATGACACTGCTGCCCACACTAGTGCAATGCCATGCCACACATCTTAGCACACTTCCAATGTGCGCTCTCGGGAAGTCTCTTGGTGAGAAAATCTGCCGCCTGCTTGCTAGCTTTCACATTGTGAAGCTCAACAATCCCCTCTTTCACCATCTGCCTCACCCAATGCCACTTAATCTTCATATGCTTGTTCAGCCCATTGAGGATAGGATTATTTGCCATGCCAATAGCAGCCTCGCTGTTAGAGAAAAGTGGTGTAGGTCCCTCCTGTTCTGCTCCCATGTCCTCCAGCAGCTTCCTCAAGAGCACGATCTCCTTGATGGCATGGTACATCGCCATGTACTCTGCCTCTCCGGAAGACTGGGCAATCTCACTCTACTTCTTGGACCTCCAGCTCACTGGTCCACCTCCGACCATGCACACAATGCCGCCAACCAATGAATGATCCTCATCCTCTAAGGCCCATGTGGCGTCGGTGAAGCACGACAGCTTCAAGGTTCCAGGCGTGACCCCATCTGCTCCAATCTGTTTCAGCTGGCCGCCAGCTGAAAACTGAACACCAGCAGATGCCGTTGATCCAAGGTAGCGCACCAAGCGCTTTGCCACCTCCAACTGCTCCTCAGTGGGCCGCTGCACAACTCTGGCCAGCTGCCCCACTCCGAATGAAGCATCAGGTCGCGTATGCACAGCTGCATACATCACACTCCCAATGAGTGACTAGTACTCATTCTGCTGCTCATCCTCGAGTACATCATCCTCCTCAGCTGCCTTCTTCAGTTTGAAGCCCGCAGGTAATGGTGTCATCACAGTGCGACCCCCAGTCACACCATACCGCTCCATGACACCAGAGATGTAGTGTGACTGATGCACCTTCAGCCACCTCCTCTCAACATCCCTCTCAATCTGCAGCTCCAAGTAGTAATGGACATCCCCCAGCATCTTGCACTTGAAGTTGTCCATCAGCAGCTTCTGTGTCCTCTCAATCTGCTCCATGGAGGGTGAGAACAGCAGTATGTCATCGACATACACCAGCAGCAAGAGCAGCTGCTCCCCCTCTCCAAGCAGAAACAAACTGTGATCCGCCTGGGATGTCTTGAAGCCTCCACTCAGCAGCACCTCCTCCAGCTTCTTGTACCAACACCTGGGCGCTTGCTTAAGGCCATAGATGGCCTTCTTAAGCTTGCACACCCGGCTGGTCCCATCCTCATAGCTGTCGGGCTGGGCTATGTAGAAATCCTCCAGCAGTATTCCATTGAGGAACGCAGTGGTGATATCCATCTGCTTCACGTGCCATCCCTTCGCAGCTGCGCCAGCCATCAAAGTCCTCAGTGTTATTGGCTTAGCAACGGGAGCGAAGATCTCTCCAAAGTTGACCTTCTCTTTCTGCTGAAACCCCTTGGCGACCAAGCGGCTCTTGAACCGCTCCAACGCACCATCAGCTCCACTCTTCACCTTGAAGACCCACTTGCTGCTGATCGGCCGTCGCCCCTCGGGTAACTCAACAAGCTCCCAAGTCCCATTCTCAATGAGACTGTTGAACTCCGCATCCATGGCAGCCTTCCACTCCTCCTTCTGGGGTCCACTGAGTGCCTCCTCCACTGTGGCAGGTTCTCCAGGCAAGGGTGTGAAGAAACAGAATGCCATCTCCTCATCCTCCCCCTCATCCGCCTGAACCGCCATGGCACCTTGCTTGGGTCCTCCCAAACGACTATACTTCAGCCTTGAGGGTGCTGCTACCACTCTCTTCTCGCGGGTTGCAATCTGCTGCCCATGTGGTGAAGCTCCTCTCTGCATACTCCTCTTGGTGACCTTGGCGTTTGCAGCAAGCTCAGGCTGAGTTGGTGAGTCCACACGTGCCGACTCATCCTCCAACCCCTCCTCTCCAGCAGGACCAGAAACTTGCTTCTCACCACCGCCACTGTGGTCACTGGTCAGCTCTGACCCAGGGAGATCCTCAAGGTGCAGCTGAACCTCCTCCACTGCAGACCGCTCAATCTCCTGCAAACGCAAGCCAATTTGCACCTGCTGCTGCTGCTGCCAATCCTTGTACATGACGTCCTTCACAAAATTGACGTCACGACTGACCAGCGTCCTCTTGCTCTTCGGGTCCCACATCAGCCACCCCTTCGAGTCAGGAGCCATCCCAAGATGGACAGCCCACATGGCAGCAACTTCCAGCTTGTGCCTCTGCTCCTTAGGCACCATCACAAGCCCCATGCAGCCCCATACCCGCAGCATGTCAATGGATGGCTTCTTCCCAAGCCAACGCTCTTACGGCACCCAATGCTTGTCGCCAACATGAGTCAAGACCCTGTTCTTGACCGTGACGCCATGGCGAACGGCATCAGGCCAGAACTTGTAGGGCATCCCAGCAGCCCCCAACAAGGTCTTAGCCGCCTCGCCAATGGTCCGGTTGGCACGCTCAGCAATGCCGTTCTGCTGCGGTGTTCCAGGGCAGGTCAGCTGATGTCGGATGCCATTTCTCTTGAGGAACTTGGTGAGTTCCGCTCCAAGGAACTCTCCACCTCGGTCGCTCCTCAGCACCTTCACCAGCCGCATCGCTTGCCACTCCACCATCGGCAACCAATCCTCCTTGATCGCCGCTGCAGCATCGCTCTTCTTGGACAAGGGACGCGCCCACGTGAAACGGCCCCATTTGTCCACCATGGTAAGGAAGTACAGCACTCCCCCAGTCCCCTCAGTCCTTGTTTTTGCCCTTCCACTTCTTCTTGAAGCCACTCTTTCCACCTCCAACTCCATAGCCAGCCCCCTCCTCCGAGCGCTCCACACTCCGCTACCGCAAGTCATCCTCTAGGATGCGCGCGCGAATGTAATCCATGCTCCATTGGGGTTGTTGGGAGTTGAGGTTGATCGCTAGGGCAGACCACGACTCTGGCAGCCGTATCACGATCTCCACGCATTGCACGAGCTCCGGGTACACCACACCGCCTCCTTGGAGCTTCGTGAAAATGTCCCGCATCTCATCCAACACCGGTTGCATCGGCTCTCCATCAACGAACTTGATGTCGCGCAGCCGCCACGCGAGTAGCACGATGCCGGTAGCATGTGTCGGTGAGTGCACATCCAGAAGCTTCCTCCAAGCCTTGGGGCCACACTCTGGATCACCCAAGAGGTCCTTGATGTGGTCAAGTAGTCGTCCGCCAACCGCTTGCACCATGAGCATGTACGCGTCGAACGATCGCTTCATCCACGCTCCTTTCAGCTCCGCGGCCTCCGGCATCTTCTCCTTCCCCTCCACCAGATCCAATAGCTTGTATTGGGTGTACATCAGCCTCATGCGGAAGCTCCAGTGCTCGTAGTCCTCCCCCATGAAATTCTCAATAGAGAACGCCTTCACGGGATCCACGGTTGTTGGAGATGGTGTAATAGACGTAGGTAGCGTAGGGCTGGCTGGTTGGTAAGTCCCCACTCCTCCACCAGCAACCCCCCCCTGCTCTCCAGCCTCTCTACTTCTATCCATCTTGCCACTAGCACCTCCGGAGTTCGTACCAACCATATTGAGGCCTTATGAACGGTGGAAACTTGAGAAATCGTTTGGAGAGAATTCTGCCAGAAATTTCGATTCTACGAAAAACGTTGTCGCGGACTAGATAATTTGAATTAGAACGCGATTTGACCACCAATCAAACGTTCGCAAGCAGAGCTATTAGACAATGGTCTCACTCGACATCATTGGTTAAGAATTCATGACGATTCGTTGTCTCGTAGTCGACTACCCGCTCTGATACCACTTGTTGTTCAGGATCCGTCACTTTGAGAACTTACGACGAACTCATTACTCAACTAAACGCAAATCCGCTCAGTAGGATTGTGCGCCTTAGGCTTAGATACCATCTCCAAGTTGAATCAGTCTTTAAGATGGTCTAGAGAGTGAGAACCATGTAAAAAACGTCCAACAGCCGCATAACTAGAATGGTAGAGGAACTACAAGCATGTAGGCATAGAAAGTTGGAGTTGGGAACCTCCAAGAGAACCATGAGAGGGAAGGGGTTCTCCAAGAGCTAGGGAAGGATGGTAGGAACCTTCCTAACAGCAAGGATGCAACCCTCATCATGAGGTCCTTGAGGTGTCACATGCAAAATCCAATCTAGTTGGATTTTGCCTAGGTGTTGCAAAATTTGCAACCCATGCTAGAAACTTCTAGCCACCCCAATCCAAAAGTCAAATTTGCCTTCCCTAACCACCCAACCAAAGATCCCTTTATATTCATGTCCCAAGTAATCACCCAAATTAGATATAACCCCAAAAGGTAATAAGAAATCCAAGTCTTGGAAATCTTGTAACTTGGGCGATCTTGGTCGGAATAAGGCGATCTTGGTATCGTTGGAAAGCTCTGGATTTCTCCTGCATGATCAAGCATTTAGACTTGGAGAAAAACACAGAGATGACAATATCCAACAGCCATGCATAATGACATATGCTCATGCAAATCATGCAAGCACAAATAGCACGAGCACTCGGCAGGACGTTAGGATGACATGCACTCAGAATGACGTGCATCCAACAAACCTCTCATCTATCTCCTTCACCAGGTGATGACCCCGTTGGCCAGCTGAAGAGAGGAGCTGTTGAATTGAATCCCAGCACGGGTTCCGAGCGTGTTTTTTTTGAATTCTCGGAATCCCAGCACGGGTTCCGAGAAGGCCGCGAGGATGGGGCAGACCCCTCAGCAATGCGATACTAGCCCATCCCCATCCCCCCAGCTGTGCATTACCGCACACACCCATCTCCCTCACCAGGTGATGACTCCATTGGACAATTGAAGCGACGAGCTGTTGAATCCCAGCACGGGCTCTGAGAAGGCGACGAGGATGGGGTAGACCCAGTTCGTGGTGGCGCTGCTCTCACTCGCGCTCAGCTGCACCGTTGGGCGCGTGGTGTCTGGTGGTTGAAGGGCAGACATAGTGGCGAAACGGAAGCGGGAGAGGGAAAAGTGGGGGCTGAGAGCTGCATGGTAGAGAGGAAGGAGAGATGGTGAGAAGGCGACGAGGATGGGGTAGACCCAGTCTGTTGTGGCGCTGGTCTCGCTCCCGCTCAGCTGCACCGTAGGGGGTGTGGTGTCTGGTGGAGAGGGGGGGTGATGGGGGGGGGGGGGGGGAATGGAAAAGCAGGTTAGGTGGGGGCTGTGAGCAACACGGGGGAGAGGAGAGAGGGCGAGAAGGCGACGAGGATGGGGTAGACCCAGTCCGTGGTGGCTCTGCTCTCACTCGCAATACGCCATCAAAGAAGGAGAGGGGGGACTGCGTGGGATGGCAGGTGGAAGAACAAAAAGCGTGACATGGAGAGCACCACAGAGAGTGGGGTGGGTGGAGGGCGGGTGGGGTGGGTGGAGGGCGGGTGGAGTGGGTGGGCTCAGACAAGGCTTACCAAAGAAGAAGAAGAAGAAGAAGGGCTGTGTGGGCTGGCAGATGTTCCCAGCAACATCGGTGACATTCTCATGCCGTATGTCCACCACCACTGAGCCTTTGCCCGTGGGCCACACCTGCCATATCACATGCCATCAGGAAAGGAGAGACATGGCAAGACTGGTGGTTGAGGCAAGCACAAGAGCGCGCAGCATCGGAGACGTTCATATCCACATGGCTGAACCCTTGCCCGTGGGCCACACACACACACACCCGCCATACGCCATCAGAGAAGGAGCAAGGGTTCAATGGTGGTGACGCAGGGCAGAGTCGTTGGAGTGGCTTACAAGCAGAGACTGGCTTGGAGAAGAGCACCCGGCAGGTCACAGACGACTAGGAGACCCTTAAAGCGTGACTCTTGCTGGCATTGACTGACTCACAGTAAAGCCCATCAAAAGATTCCACTTGAACTCCAAAAAAAAAGGAATGGAAACAAAGAGGAACCCACCCACCTGAAATTGGTACTCCAGGTCGGTCACGTGTTGGGGGTCACTGGTGGTGGCGTTGGCGACAGCGAGGGACGCGGAGGAGAAGGAAGAGACGGGCTTGGAGAAGAGAAGAGCACTTAGCAGGTCACCGGCGACTGGTCGACTCATAGAGCCGTACCCTGGCATTGACCGACTCACAGCAACCCACCTAAACATGGTACACCCTAGTCCACTGCAACTGAAACTCACCTGGAACTGGTACTCCAGGTCGGAGACAGATTGGGGGTTGCTGGCGGTGGCGTTGGCGATAGCGAGGGACGAGGAGGGGAAGGAAGAGACGGGCTTGGAGAAGAGCACCCGACACGTCACGGGCGACTGGGAGACTCGTGGCGTGGCTCTGAGCTGTGTGAAGAACTTGACCACCGCCAAGGGCGTGTCGCAGGTGAGAGTGGCCTCCAGAGGGGCGCGGTCTGGAGGGGTGGAAAGGGGGAGAAAGTGGGACGGGAGCGGAGGGGGAAACGGGGGGGGGAAGTCAGCAACTTATTCACCCGCGGCCTGGCTCTGAGCTGAGCTGTGTGAAGAACTTGACCACTGCCAAGGGCGTGTTGCAGGTGAGAGTGGCCTCCAGAGGGGCGCGGTCTGGAAGAGGGTGGGGAGGGGGAAAAGGGGGTTAGAGGCCGGCTGCTTGCTGCGTGGCTCTGAGCTGTGTGAAGAACTTGACCACTGCCAAGGGCGTGTCACAGGTGAGACTGGCCTCCAGAGGGGCGCGGTCTGGATGGGGGAAGAGGGAGTGAGGAGGGGCGGGTTGGGGGGATGTTTAGGGCTGGGTGGGCTGAGTGTGCTGTAACGAGGGGCTCTGAGCGGCGTGGAAATCCATTGTGGAAGGCATGTCCCAGGAGAGAGTGGCCTCCAGAGAGAGGGGGGGGGGTGTGGGTTGGAGGAGGAGATAGGGCTGGGGGAGGTTAGGGTTGGGTTGGGTTGGGTGGGGTGGGTTGAGAATGGCATTGTAAAGGCATGGCTAGGAAAGGCATGGGTAAAGGCATGCGAGGAAGGGAGGCACATGTCTACTCGTGCACATGCAATCACACTATCAAGAGGCACTGGGCTGAAAAGCAGGGGAATGGGGGGGCATAGGGGCACACGTGATCTACTCCATCCATTCTCTTCACTGTGGCAGTCGTCTTCACAGCAGGCAAGCTTTGGCCTTTATGCACGTCCGCTTACCTATCCTGATGACGGCATAAGAGCCAAACCCCGCCATCCATGCCCTCCCACTCGAGTCAGCACAGCTGCCCGACCTTAAAGCCACAGTCACAGCGGCAGCACTAGCACTGCCACCGCTGCTGCTGGAGGTTCCGTTGCCGGTGGAATTGCTGCTGTCGTTAGAGCTGCTGCCCCCACTGCTGTTGCTGCTGCTGGTGCTGGTGCTGGTGGTGGTGGCGGGTGGCAGGGTGGCAGTGAGGGAGTATCGATTGTGCCGTCATCTGACGCCATGAACGAGGAGGGGTCGATGCTCACTATGCCCTGCGGTGATGCCTGCACCTGACCTGCGTGAGCGAGAAGGGAGAGGGAGAAAAAGGGAGAGGGGGTAGGGAGGAGGTGAACGAGTAGAGGAGGGGTCGATGCTCACTTTGCCCTGTGGTGATGCCTGCACCTGACGTGCGTGAGTGAGAAGGGAGAGGGAGAAAGGAGGGGGGGGGGGTGGGGGAGAAGGAGGGAGAGGAGGTAGGAAGACGGTAAACAAGGAGGGGTCAATAGGCACTATGCCCTACGGTGATGCCTCCCTGGGGTAGACTGTACACACTGAGGCTACACAAACAGCAAAATCTGGTCCAAACAGTACATGGTGTATACATCTCCTCCATTTATTTTTCATGAAGAGCGACGTATATGCAGAAAGAAGCAATCACGTACACCGCATGCAGAGGAGTTGCACTGCAGGCCTGGGCAGGGCTTGTCAAAGGCGATGCTGATCTGCACCGACCCCTCCCTCGCCTGTGGCTTTTGAGGCATCTAATATGAGCTAGGCATATGCATGGAGAAGCAACCACGTACGTCACAGGAAGTGGAGGTGCACTGCAGGCCCGGCCCGGGCTCGGCTTGTCAAAGGCGATGCTGATCTGCACCGACACCCCCCTCGCCTGTGGCTTTTGAGGCGCCTAAAATGAGCAAGGCATATGCATGGAGAAAGAAGCAACCACGTACGCCGCAAGCAGTGAAGGCCCTCCCTCCCTTGCCTGTGGCTTTTGAGGCGTCTAGAAAGAACGAGGCACATACAAAGTGTAGCAATCACGTACGTTGCACGCACTAGAGTTGCACTGCAGGCCCGGGCATGGCTTGTTGAAGGCGATGCTGATTTGCACCGACCCCTCCCTTACCTGTGGCGGGTCCACTGTTAGCGTTGGCACCGGACTGGCCGCTTTTGATGGGAACCACATGATTGGAAGCAAGGGGAAAGGGAAAGGAAGGAGCAGAGAAGTGCATTTCAGAGGGCGAGATTTCGGTGGAGTTGCACTGCAGGCCCGGGCAGGGCTTGTCAAAGGCGATGCTGATCTGCGCCGACCCCTCCCTTGCCTGTGGCGGGTCCACTGTTAGCGTTGGCACCGGACTGGCCGCTTTTGATGGGATGGGAACCACGGGATTGGAAGCAAGGGGAAAGGGAAAGGAAGGAGCAGAGAAGTGCATTTCAGAGGGCGAGGTTTCGGTGGAGTTGCACTGCAGGCCCAGGCAGGGCTTGTCAAAGGCGATGCTGATCTGCACCGACCCCTCCCTTGCCTGTGGCGGGTCCACTGTTAGCGTTGGCACTGGACTGGCCGCGTCTAACGAGAACCAAGGGGAAAAAAGGGCGGAGAACGGCGGAGGAGGGGAAGAAGGGAGGAGACGAGGACAGTGGAGCGTTTCAGAAGGCGGATTGCAAAACGGATAAGTAGGAGCTGCGTCCTCCTGACCACAGTCTCATCTCATGCGCTGCAATCGCACAGTGAAGGTGGCCTTTGAGACATCTCAAAAGCCACCTGAAACCGCCCACATCTCCTGCGCTGCGCTGCAGTCGAACATTTTTTGAGAATTCTCAAAAAGCCACCTGAAACCGCCCACATCTCCTGCGCTGTGCTGCAGTCAAACGTTGAACAAACGGCGGTGCTCCGCTCTGCAGATGTGTATAAAAGCCGATCAGGCCACCTAACAAGAGGAGAGAAACGAGTAGAGAAGCTTACCAACGACCCATTCATATGATGTGGCCTGTGCTTGCGCCTCCACCTGTTTTTTGAGAATTCTAAAAAAATAGAAGCTTACCAGCGACCCATTCATATGTGGCCTGTGCTTGCGCCTCCACCTGCGCCCCTCCTCTTCCTCCCCCTCCCCCTCCCCCTCCCCCTTCCACCCCTCCTCCCCACTCTCCGCCCATCCCAACATCAGCAGTGGCGGCCTGCAGGCGGGTGCCAGTGACCCCCGGCGCGCCCCTGAGCGCGGTGACTGTGAAGCGGTTGGGACCGTCCGTGAGGCCGGCTGCTGTGAACCACCCGCGCGGGCAGGGGAAGCTGGGGAGGGCGTCCAGCTGGGGGGGGCGGAGAGGGGCAGAGGAGGAGGTAGGAGAGCGGTTGAATGGTGAAGCGGTGGGGGCCGTCCGTCAGCCCGCGTGCTGTGAACCACCCCTGGGGACAGGGGAAGCTGTGGAGGGCGTCCAGCTGTGAGGGGGGGGGGACGGCAGGGAGGGGAGGATAAGGATGGGTTTACTGTGAAGCGGTGGCGGCCGTCCGTGAGGCCACGTGCTGTGAACCACCCCCTCGGACAGGGGAAGCTGGGGAGGGCGTCCAGCTGTGAGCGGACGGGGAGAGGAGTAAGGGGAGGAGAAGGGGATGAGCTTGTGCGTGGGTTCACAGGTGCAGGCGGGGCGGGTGCCAATGACCCCCGGCGCTCCCCTGAGCGCGGTGACTGTGAAGCGGTGGGGACCGTCCATGAGCCCGCGCGCTGTGAACCACCCCCGCGAACAGGGGAAGCTTGGGAGCGAGTCCAGCTGCGGATGGGGGGTTGACGGGGTGGGGAGGATGGGGAGACAGACGGGGAGGCGGGCGGGGAGGCGGAGGGGGAGGGAGGTGTGGGAGGACAGGGAGGGGGAGGAATGGCAGGGTAAGGGGAGCTAGGGAGGGGCGAGAGTGAGTTGGGAGAGAGAGGTGGGAGAGGGAGGTATGGAAAAGAAGCATATGCTTAAAAATGTGTGGGAGAGGACTCTTGCAGAGGTGCTCTGACATGACCCCACATGCTTTGACATGACCCCACATGCTTTGACATGACCCCACATGCTTTGACATGACCCCACATGCTTTGACATGACCCCACATGCTTTGACATGACCCCACATGCTTTGACATGACCCCACATGCTTTGACATGACCCCACATGATTTGACATGACCCCACATGCTTTGACATGACCCCACATGCTTTGACATGACCCCACATGCTTTGACATGACCCCACATGCTTTGACATGACCCCACATGCTTTGACATGACCCCACATGCTTTGACATGACCCCACATGCTTTGACATGACCCCACATGCTTTGACATGACCCCACATGCTTTGACATGACCCCACATGCTTTGACATGACCCCACATGCTTTGACATGACCCCACATGCTTTGACATGACCCCACATGCTTTGACACGACCCCACATGCTTTGACATGACCCCACATGCTTTGACATGACCCCACATGATTTGACATGACCCCACATGCTTTGACGTGACCCCACATGCTTTGACATGACCCCACATGCTTTGACATGACCCCACATGCTTTGACATGACCCCACATGCTTTGTCCCCCCGAGAGCACGCATTGCAGCGATGTGAAGCGAACAAGAGAAGGAGAAAAGTGGAAGAGGTGGGGAGACACGGGGTAGTGAGGGAGGAGGGAATGGCGATGAGCCGGGGTAAGGGCGGGGGGGACGGACCTTGTTTTTTAGTCGACTCAAAAAGAGGTGGGGAGACACGGGGTACTAAGAGAGGAGGGAATGGCGTCTAGCCGGGGCAAGGGCAGGGTGGGACGGACCTTGCAGACGGGAGGGCAGGGGGGACGAAGACGCAGCATGCAGATAGCGGGACAGGGGGGAGGTGGGGGACGCACCTTGCAGAGGCAGGTGCGGGAGGGGGGACGGGGAGAGGGGGCTTGCAGAGGTACCTTTACAGAGGTACCTTGCAGAGGGGGAGGGGGGTTAAGGGGGGACGCACCTTGCAGAGGAAGGTGCAGGTGTCACAGCGGGCGGGCGAGCGCAGAGGGAGAACAGGAGCGCAGCATAAGTGGAGAACAAGGGGAGACCGAGTGCAGGAGGGGGGCCGCACCTTGCAGAGGAAGGTGCAGGCGTCACAGCGGGCAGGCGAGTGCACGCCTGTCATCTCCAGCGCGTGCCACGAGAAGCGCGCACGCCCCACCTTCGCCACGCCCCTTGGCCTGCGCACAAACAACACCACCAATGTCGGCGCGGACGCTACAGGCGCTACAGGCGCTACAGGCGCTGCGGACGCTGCGGGCGGTAGGGGAAGCACAAAGGCTACAGGCCACGCGGATGATGTGGACAAACGCGCCTCCAGTGCACCAAACGCCGCGCCACCACCGGCCCCAACACTACCACCACCACCACCAGCACCGGCTGTAGCGGAACCAACAGCTGTAGCGGCGCCAGAAAGAGCCTGCTCCTGTAGCGGCTGGCCTGGCTGCGGCTGCTTGAGGCCAACTGGCACAAGCACGGCCGTGAGCCGAACGGTTGCCTGTAACACCTGATAGGGTAACTGCTCAAAGCCCCCACAGAGCCGACACGGCTGTGCGACCGCCGCGGACGCTGTCACTGTAATGGTCAGCGTCACGTTGGCGATAGGGTTATCAGCAGGGTTACTGCTGTTACTGCTCGCTGCGTTGCGACTGGTCGCAGGCAGAGCGGCAGCAGGCAGAGCCCAGGACACGTCCCCCATGTAGCACGTAAACGGGCAGGTGCCGCCGCACCGACCCACAGGCCTGCACGGCCCTGCTGTGAGCATCTCGCGGCCATTAACGCGTATGGACTGTACCGTCCGGTCGGGCCAGTCAAAATCGGTCGGGACTACACCCACTGCGAGAACGTAGGTGAGTCGCCACTTCGTGCTGTTGTAACTATAACTGGAACTGTAACTGTTGTTTGCATCAGCCTGCGACGGTAACAGCCCGGTGGAAACCGACACGGTGCAGATTGGTCCAGCTCCCCTTCCTGCCCCAGTGTTCTGCGCCCCTCCCGCGCTATCCCCCGCGCCAGCTCCCCCCGCGCCGGTACCCCTCGCGCCGGTGCGCCCCGGGAGCGGCCCTATGACGGGGTCGTCCTGGCGGCGGTTGGGCGGAACGAGCGGGGAGGCGCAGAAGGTGTCGACGAATGAGAGCACGCGGTAGGTTGAGGGGAGGACTTGTGCGCGCGCAGGGGAGAGGGGGAAGAGGAGGAGGAGGAGGAGGAAGGAGAGGACATTCGAAAAATGTGATTGGGGATTTCTACCTGGGGGTAACTTCTTGGGTAGCTTTGGGGGAAGGCTTCGAAAGGTATGTCTCAGGACGCCGGTCAGGATGCCTTTCGAGCGGACCGCGCGCTCAACTCCCCCAGAAGTGTCGGAACCAATCGTCGTGAAACAATTTTCTGGTTCGGAAACTTACGCGATTGGCCGTTGGCTTAAAAACTCTTTTTGGCAATTTCGTTCATTGGACTTCCAGCTCTCTTGGAAATGATCCCATTGGCCAATGTTCGCGTCGCGTCGAGCAATAAATTGGATATGATGCAGATGCACTTAACGCATAGTGTACAGGCATTATGCCAATATATATATAATTTGTATACAATCAAAATAGACGCAATAAAATTTAATATTAAATTTAATAGCTGACATTCACTATGGTGCAGCAGTCATTATGACGAGTATATATTTTGCTCAAATTCGTTAATTGCATGTTAGCATTTTCATGGCTATCCAATCTTCCTATTTGTTTATTGACTCAAACGTCAATTGTCTCAATTATAATACAGATACATTAACCAGAGTAATTATCCAACACTTTCGTAAACACAAAAAAAAAAGCAAATGACAATTGTGTCAAACTTATATGATATAGCCTGTGTAGGCTGTAGCAGGTCACACACTAAGGGGTACATAATTCTAGGGTTTCATATTTGTATCACTTTCATTCCTTAGTCAATTCATTCTCGTTCTAAGTTTCTCATGGTATCGAGCAGGTTCCCTAGTGGGAACTTTCCTAGGGCCCACCAAGATCGAGTTTTTTTTTCCTGCCCGGGGCGCGCGTTGCCCCCCGTGCCCGAGGCGCGCCTAGTGTTCTGCCCCTAGCGGCCCGTCGCACCCTCCTTAGCGGCCCGTCGCGCCGCCCTTAGCGGCCCCGTCGTGCCCTCCTTAGCGGCTTGTCGCGCCGCCCTTAGCGGCCCCATCGCGCCCTCCTTAGCGGCCCGTTGCGCCCTCCTTAGCGGCCGGTCGCGCCGCCCTTGTCAGAACATATATGTAGCTTATGCTGTTGTGTAGGCTACAGTGGGGTATCCCATAGGGGGTACAACCCAATTAGGGTTTTGCTATTTGTACCCAACTCTTTCATAGTGCATTCATTCTCGTTCTATTTTCCACATGGTATCGAGCAGGTTCCCCCGTGGGAACTGTGCTTAGGGCCCACCACTTTTAAACTTTTTTTTCTGCCCGGAGCGCGCTCCGGGCCCTTGCTCTCACTCTTTCGGCCTGCCCTGCGGCCCCCTAGCCGCCCGCGCGCGCCCGTTCAGGCCCCTAGCCGCCCGCGCGCCGCCCGTCCCGGCCCCTAGCCGCTCGCGCGCCGCCCGTTCAGGCCCCTAGCCGCTCGCGCGCCGCCCGTTCAGGCCCCTAGCCGCCCGCGCGCCGCCCGTCCCGGCCCCTAGCCGCTCGCGCGCCGCCCGTTCAGGCCCCTAGCCGCCCGCGCGCCGCCCGTCCCGGCCCCTAGCCGCTCGCGCGCCGCCCGTTCAGGCCCCTAGCCGCCCGCGCGCCGCCCGTCCCGGCCCCTAGCCGCTCGCGCGCCGCCCGTTCAGGCCGCTAGCCGCCCGCGCGCCGCCTGTCCCGGCCCCTAGCCGCTCGCGCGCCGCCCGTTCAGGCCCCTAGCCGCTTGCGCGCCGCCCGTTCAGGCCCCTAGCCGCCCGCGCGCCGCCCGTCCCGGCCCCTAGCCGCTCGCGCGCTGCCCGTTCAGGCCCCTAGCCGCCCGCGCGCCGCCCGTCCCGGCCCCTAGCCGCTCGCGCGCCGCCCGTTCAGGCCCCTAGCCGCCCGCGCGCCGCCCGTCCCGGCCCCTAGCCACCCGCGCGCACCCGTCCCGGCCCCCTGCTGAGGGGTGGCAGGTGTGTGGTCTCCCCTGCTTCTCCTCCTCCTTCGTCTCGAGCTGCCCTGCAGCCGAGCCGCCTCGCCGCCGAGCCGCTCTACACCCGAGCCTCCCAGCAGCCGCGCCGCCCTGCAGCCGAGCCGCTCTACACCCGAGCCTCCCAGCAGCCGCGCCGCTGGGTCGCCGAGCTGCCGAGTTGCAGTTGCTGCCGAGCCGCCCTGCCGCCGAGCCGCCCGAGTCGCCCGAGCCGCAGAGCCGCCGTGCTGCCGAGCCGCTGAGTCGCCGAGCCTACTCTACCCACCACTGGTGAGCCCCTGCCCCGCTAGCACGCTGCGCGTCGCCTACTTGCCTGCCTGCCTCCCTTTTTGGCTTGCCTGGCTGCCTGCCTTACTGCTGCTACTCCTGCTCCTGCCTCTACTGGTGGAGCCAGATGCAGCCCCATCGACGTCTGCGTGAGTCCCTCACGCCCCAGCAGCTGCGTGAGTGGTACACTGGTTGGGGCTGTAGGGGTGGTGGCGCTACCACTGCTACCACTCCTGCTGCTTCTACTACTGGTGGCGGCCAGATGCAGCTCCCGCGACCCCCCCGCGCGTCTCTCACGCCTCAGCAGCTTCGTGAGTGGTACGCTCAGAGTGGAGGGTCTCTCAGTTCTGTTCGCTGCTCTTACGTGATTCTCACTGGTGCTCGGACTGGTCAGCCTTGTGGGACACCTAGTCATACACAGTCCCGCTGCTTCGCCCGTCTGAGCGACGCCTGGCGTACCGTGTTTGGCGACGAGGCTGAGCTCCCCGACTGGGTGGAGTTGCTTAGGCAGAGGGTAGATATATTTGCTCTTGACTATGATGCTATTCTCACTGCCATGTATGCATTGCCTACTAGTGCTGACCGTGCCGGTCACCTGTGCGTCCCGCCTGACCCGGGTATAGGACCTGCTGCTCTAGCTACTGGTGAGGTTGCTGCTGCTCTAGGTGCTAGTGAGTCTCCTGCTCCAGGTACAGGTGCGGCTGCTGCTCTAGGTGCTAGTGAGTCTGCTTCCTCAGGTGCGGGTGAGGCTGCGCTCTCAGGTACCGCGTTGGCTTCGGCCTCCCTCACCTTTACACTTGACTCTGGGGCTTCTCGCTCCTTCTTTCGGGACCGCACCACACTCACGCCGCTTGGTCGGCCGGTTGCAGTCTCCCTGGCTGACCCCTCTGGGGGTCCTGTCCTCGCTCACTTCTCCACTGTCCTCCCGTGTCCGGCTGCCCTCTCGGGCACCCTGTCTGGCCTGTACCTCCCCTCGTTCTCGACGAACTTGGTGAGTGGTGCAGACCTGCAGGATGCGGGGGTTCACCAGTTCACTCCTGCGAGTCAGCGGGTGACCCACTGCACGGACGCACGCACAGGCCGGCACCTGGCCACGTTCTCGCGTCGGCCGGGGTCGAGCCTCTACACCCTGACCACTGAGTCTCCTCCTGTCCCTGCGTCCGGTCAGGTAGCAGCGTCAGGTCAGGTGTTTGCTGCTGCGTCCAGGTCTGGTCCTGAGTCTGCCCCCTGTTCGTGTCGCCTCCTGTCTCACGAGACTCTCCTGTGGAACCACCGTCTTGGCCACCCCTCCTTGCCCCGCCTTCGGGGCATGGCTTCCAGTGTCCTTGTCTCTAGCCTTCCCCAGTCTCTCCCTCCCCTTCCTTCGGGACCAGGACCTTCCTGTGTCCCCTGTGTCGAGGGGCGCCTCAGGGCTGCTCCTCACTCCTCCCAGTTTCCCCCGACAGAGGCTCCTCTGCAGACACTTCACATGGACGTGTGGGGCCCGGCCCCCGTCCGTGGGCAGAGTCACGAGCGCTACCTCCTGTTGGTGGTTGACGACTACTCGCGTTACACCACAGTCTTCCCCTTGCGCAGCAAGGGTGCTGTCACTGAGGTGCTGATCGACTGGATCCGCGAGGCTCGTCTCCAGCTCAGGAGGAGCTTCGGCTCAGACTTTCCTGTTCTGCATCTGCACTCTGACCGAGGTGGGGAGTTCTCCTCTCGCCTTCTGCGAGACTACTGTCGTGTACAGGGGATCCGCCAGACCTTTACGCTTCCGGACTCACCACAGCAAAATGGGATTGCTGAGCGCCGCATTGGCATGGTCATGGATGTCGCTCGTACGTCCATGATGCATGCGGCTGCCCCCCATTTTCTGTGGCCGTTTGCGGTTCGGTACGCGGCGCATCAGCTCAACCTTCACCCCAGGGTCTCTCGGCCCGCGATGTCCCCAGTGTTACTGTGGACGGGGAAGGTCGGCGATGCGTCTGCGTTCCGTGTCTGGGGATCTCGGGCGTTTGTCCGCGACTTGTCTGCGGACAAGCTGTCCCCCCGTGCTGCTCCCTGTGTCTTCCTTGGCTTCCCCCCTGACGCTCCAGGGTGGCAGTTCTACCACCCCTCCTCTCGTCGTGTTCTGTCCTCCCAGGACGTCACGTTCGACGAGTCAGTCCCCTTCTACCGCCTCTTCCCCTACCGTACTCCTTCCCTCCCCCCCCCCCCCGGACTTCCTGGTGCCAGTTCCCCCCCCGGTAGACCCCCTCCCCCCTCAGGTTCCTGCCCCTGCAGGTGTGTCCCAGGTAGACACACTCGAGCCAGTCGAGGTTGCTGCTGAGTCTGGTCCTGTTGCGGGTGCAGAGTCTGGGGGTGCTACGCCTGCGGGTGCTGAGCTTGGGGGTGCTGCTGCTGGGGGTGCTGAGCCTGGGGGTGCGAGGCCGGGGGGTGCTGAGCTTGGGGGTGCTGCTGCTGGGGGTACTGAGCCGGGGGGTGCTACGTGAGGAGCTGCTGAGCCTAGGGGTGCGGAGCCTGCGACTGCTTGACCTGGGGGCTCTCCGGTTGCTCTGTCTCGGCGGGAGCCGCTCTCTCCACAGGAGCTGCGCGAGTGGTTTGCTCGCCGCTGGAGGCGTACTGCTGGAGCTGGAGCTCCTTAGACTGCTGAGGGTGCTGGTGCTACCGGTCCCGGAGCTGCTGGGCCTGCGGGCCCTCTGGAGCTGGAGCTGCTGAGCCTGGGGGTGCTGAGTCTGGAGCTGCTGAGCCTGGGGGTGCTGAGTCTGGAGCTGCTGAGCCTGGGGGTGCTACGTCCGGAGCCGCTGAGCCTGGGGTTTCTCCTGGTGCTGCGTCTCGGCGGGAGCCCCTCTCTCCACAGGAGCTGCGCGAGTGGTTTGCTCGCTGCTGGAGGCGTACTGCTGGAGCTGGAGCTTCTTCGACCGTCGAGGGTGCTGGTGCCGCCGGTCCCGGAGGTGCTACGCCTGCGGGTCCTACTGGAGCTAGGGCTGCTGAGGGCGTTGGTGCTGAGTCTGCTGCTGTCTGTCCTGACGGTGGTTCTGCTGCTGGTGCTGCTGGAGGTACTGCCGCTGGAGGTGTTGGTGGCGCTGGTGCTGCCGCTGAGGGTGCTGGTGCTGTCCCTGCTGAGTCTGGAGCTGCCGCGCAGCCTCGGCCGTACTTCGTTCCGCTTCTGCAGCAGGTTCTTGGTCTTTCTCCTCCGGTAGAGTGTCCACAGCCCGTCCAGTCGCAGTCACTGTTGGAGCCTACCTCCCCACTGCCTGCTCCCTCTCCTTACACTGGTCCTACTGGAGGTCTTACTGAGCGTCGTGAGCCTGCGTCTCGTCCCGCGTCGCCTATTCGTGCTGCACGCGCTAGTGGTCGTGGTTCGCGTCCGCATCCTCCTCCTGTCCCTGGCACGCACCGGATGTCTCTGCGTCCGTCCACTGCTCCTCTGCGTGCCTTTTTGCCTTCTCCTCCTGAGTCCTCCCTTCCTGTGCTTACCGACCCAGAGTCGGACTCCCTTCGTGCTGCCAGTCCTACTGTCACGCGTCTGCTTGCTACTGTCGTCACTGACCCCTCTTTTGAGTCCGCTGCTGCGTCTGCTCTTGTCGCTGAGCTCGTCGACTTTGCTGCTCGCTGCCGTCTAGACTACGCTGCTAGTCTTGTTGCTGAGTCTGCGTCTGTCTGTCCTCCGTCCGTCGGGGGTGAGTGTGCTCTTGGCACGGACGTCCTAGAGGACAGGCAGGAGGAGTTCTAGTGTCTGGCTGCTGCTTCACCTCATCTCGCGTCTGTACTGCTTGCTCCTGAGGGAGACCCGGATGCACTAGACATCCCGACTCCGCGCTCTTACGCGGAGGCCGTAGAGGGTCCCTACTCCTCTTAGTGGCATGCAACTATGGATGCAGAGATGGCTTCCTGGAAGTCCACAGGCACCTACGTTGACGCGGTTCCCCCTCCTGGGGCGAACATCGTCAGTGGCATGTGGATCTTCAGGGTGAAGCGGCCGCCGGGCTCTCCACCTGTCTTCAAGGCGCGGTACGTCGCTCGTGGCTTCAGTCAACGGCAGGGAGTTGACTACTTTCAGACCTTCTCTCCCACCCCGAAGATGACCACTCTTCGGGTGCTGCTGCACATAGCCGCTCAGCGCGACTACGAGCTTCACTCTCTCGACTTCAGTACTGCGTTCTTGCAGGGGAGCCTGCACGAGGAGATCTGGCTGCGCCGTCCACCTGGCTTCACTGGGACTTTCCCTCCTGGCACCCAGTGGAGCCTCCGACGGCCAGTCTACGGTCTCCGCCAGGCACCACGTGAGTGGCACGACACACTGAGGACTACGCTTGCGGCCCTTGGGTTTGCTCCTTCTACTGCTGACCCGTCGCTGTTTCTGCGCACCGACACTTCACTGCCGCCGTTCTACATCCTCGTGTACGTCGACGACTTGGTCTTTGCCACAGCGGACACTGCTGGACTCGCCTACGTGAAGTCCGAGCTGCTGAAGAGACACACGTGCACAGACCTGGGTGAACTGCGCAGCTACCTTGGCTTGCAGATCACTCGGGACAGAGCACGCCGCACCATTACCTTGACTCAGTCACACATGGTGCAGCAGGTCCTTCAGCGCTTCGGCTTCACGTACTCCTCGCCTCAGGCCACTCCTCTGTCTACTCGTCACTCGCTCTCAGCTCTGCCTTCGGATGAGTCCGTAGAGTCGAGTGGCCCGTACCCAGAGCTTGTTGGCTGCCTCATGTACCTGATGACCTGCACATGACCTGACCTTGCATACCCTCTTAGCATTCTTGCACGCTATGTTGCTCCTGGGAGACACCGACCAGAGCACATGGCTGCAGCGAAGAGGGTATTGCGCTACCTGTGCAGTACGTCGGGCATGGGGCTAGTGCTTGGAGGGCGGAGTCCAGTGGTACTTACAGGTCACGCGGACGCTTCTTGGGCTGACGACCAGGCTACGCAGCGGTCGTCACAGGGTTACACCTTCAGCCTTGGCTCCGGCTCTGTCTCGTGGCGGGCTACTCGCTCGTCTTCGGTTCTCAGCTCGAGTTGTGAGGCTGAGATCTACGCAGGGGCCATGGCTGCACAGGAGCTTCGCTGGCTCACCTACCTGCTGACTGACCTTGGAGAGCCGCCTCGTTCTCCTCCAGTGCTGTACGTAGACAACAAGGCCATGCTGGCCTTGTGTCGAGAGCAGCGTCTGGAGCACAGAACGAAGCACATTGCTCTTCGCTACTTCCTTGCTCGTGAGCTACAGCAGCGTGGACAGTTGCGGCTTGCGTACGTGGCCTCTGAGGCCAATACTGCTGATGTGTTCACCAAGGCACTCGCGCCTTGTGACCATCAGCGGTTCTGCACCCAGCTGGGTCTTGTGCCTGTCTTGCCTCACTTGCTCTCCTCTTGACTTTACTTGTACTGTCACATATATATACCTGCTCTTGCTTGTCTAGCTTTATATATATATGTGTGTACTACTGCATGTGAACTGGCCTTGTGGCCTTGCTCTTGTGCTCGGACTGTGTGGTGACTTTGTGATCCACCCTGAGCTTTGCTTTGCTTTGCTTGACCGGTCTTGTGACCCCTTGTTCTCCCCCACTTTGCCTATGGGGGTGTGTCAGAACATATATGTAGCTTATGCTGTTGTGTAGGCTACAGTGGGGTATCCCATAGGGGGTACAACCCAATTAGGGTTTTGCTATTTGTACCCAACTCTTTCATAGTGCATTCATTCTCGTTCTATTTTCCACAGCCCTTAGCAGCCCGTCGCGCCCTCCTTAGCGGCCCCGTCGCGCCCTCCTTAGCGGCCCGTCACGCCGCCCCTAGCGGCCCCGTCGCAGCCCCTGCCGGCCTCGTTGCCGCACTTGACGGCCCCGTCGCCGCCCCTTCCGGCCCCGTCGCCGTCCTTCCACGGCCCCGTCGCCGCCTCCCCCCTTTCAGCGGCCCCGTCGCCGCCCTTTCAGCGGCCCCGTTGCCGCCCTTTCAGCGGCCCCGTCGCCGCCTCTTAGCGGCTTCGTCGCCGCCCTTCAGCGGCTTCGTCGCCGCCCTTCAGCGGACCCGTCGCCGCCCTTCAGCGGCCCCGTCGCCGCCCCTTTCCGCGGCCCCGTCGCCGCCCCTTTCCACGGCCCCGTCGCCGCTCCTTTGCGGCAACGACGCCGCCCTTCACGGCCCCGCCGAGCCGCCTTTGCTGCCGAGCCGCCGAGCCACTGAGCCGCTGAGCCGCCGAGCCGCCGAGCTATCGAGCCGCCAAGCCGCCGAGCGTCCGAGCCGCCTTTGCCGCCGAGCCGCCTTTGCCACCGAGCCGCCGAGCCGCCTTTCCCGCCGAGCCGCCGAGCCACTGAGTCGCACTGCAGCTGAGACGCCGCCGCCTACCAGCCTGCCCCGGAGCGCCTCCTTTGCCTGGTAAGAGCAGCGCCTCTGCCACTGCACTGCCCTACCCCACTGTGCTCACTGCCTCTCTACTGCTGTCATGGCCACCCCTAGTGTTCTCACCTTTGACGCTGAGGGTCGGGCTGTTGACTTTGACGTCTGGGTAGATGATATGCAGCTCTTCCTACAGTGCGATAGGGCAGACAGTCTCTCCCTGTTTGACCTCACTTCTGGTGCCTCTACTGCCCCTGCTGCTGATGCTGATGCCACTGTTCGCTCACAGTGGGCCACGCGCGATGCTGCTGCCCGCCTTGCTGTGCGCCGTCACTTACCGACCGCTGAGCGTGCGCATTTTAGTCAGTACAAGAGTGCTGAGACCTTGTACGACGCTGTAGTTGAACCCTACTCTTCCCCTGCCACTGCTGCTCTTAGCCGCCTCATACTGCCATACCTCTTCCCTGACCTCGCCGCTTTTCCCACAGTCGCTGACCTCATTACGCACCTTCGCACTAGTGACATTCGCTACCACGCTGCGCTTCCTGCTGAGTTCTACGCCAAGAACCCCCCCCCCTATGTACATCACCCTCTACTACATAGTCACCCGTCTCTCTGACACCCTTCGCTCAGTCAGGGACCACTTTCTCTCTGTGTGCCCCACCACTCTCACCGTTGACCTCCTCGAGGAGCGCCTCCTAGCAGCAGAGAAGGGTATAGTCGCTGTAGGAGCCTCTCGTGGTGACCCTCGTACCCCTGTGTTTGAGAAGTGCTCCCCCTCCCCCCTCTTGCCCTCTGTTGCCTTTGCTGCTGCGTCCGACCTCGTTGGTCTTGAGTCGGTCGGTGCGGCGTCTGCCCCTAGCGGGAGACGCGACTCAGGCAAGGGCTAGGGGGGCAAGGGCGCTAGAGGAGCTGGCGGGGGCGGTGGAGGTGGCGGTGGAGGCGGCGGAGGGGGTGGGGGTGGCGGTGGGAGTGGTGGCGGGGGTGGGGGTGCTAGTGGCGGCAGTGGAGGCGGAGGAGGAGGCGGTGGTGGCGGTGCGGGCGGAGGTGGCGGAGGTGGAGGCAGTGGTGGAGGTAGCGGCGGTGAAGGTGGAGCTGGTCGGGGCGGCTCTACGCAGAGGGTCGGCCCCGGTGGTGGTCAGCGCCAGCAGCAGCACACTCGTGAGACCCCTTCCCCCCAGCAGCTTCGTGAGTGGTACACTGCTCGTCAGCGAGGTGGGGGTGCTGGCCCCTGTACCTACGTCCTCCGTACCAGCGACCGCGCGGGTGAGCAGTGTGGGGGTCCGCACTCCACCCAGCGCTGCTTTGGCCGTCTGACGGACGCTTGGCGTCACCAGTTCCCCGACGCTACTGAGATCCCTCGCTGGGGCGAGCTGTTTAGGGCGGGTGTTGCGATCTTTGATCTTGATTATGATGCTATTCTTGCTGCCATGTATGCTGTGACCATTAGTGATGAGGGTGACTGTTACCGGTGTTTTCCGCCTGACGCGGGCATTGAGGCTGCTGCTCTAGGTGCTGGTGAGGCTGCTGCTCTAGAGGCCAGTGAGTCTGCTGCCCCAGGTGCTGGTGAGTCTGCGCTCTCAGGTTCCGCGTCGACTCCGGCCACCCACACCTTCACCCTTGACTCGGGTGCTTCCCGCTCCTTCTTTCGAGACCGCACCACACTCACGGCGCTTAGTCGGCCAGTGGTAGTCTCCCTGGCAGACCCCACTGGGGGTCCTGTCCTTGCCCAGTTCTCCACTGTCCTACCGTGTCCGGCGGCCCCTTCTGGCACCCTGTCAGGTCTTTACCTCCCCTCGTTCTCTACAAACTTGGTGAGTGGTGCTGACCTCCAGGATGCAGGGGTTCACCAGTTCACTCCTACGAGTCAGCGAGCGACCCACTGTACCTGTGCTCGGACGGGCCGTCACTTGGCCACGTTTACCCGTCAGCCGGGGTCGAGCTTATACAAACTGACTACTGAGTCTCCTCCAGTCGCTCAGTCTGCTCAGGTAGCCGCGTCGGGTCAGATGTTTGCTGCGGCATCCAGGTCTGGCCCTGAGTCTGCCCCCTACTCGTGTCGTCTCCTGTCTCACCAGACTCTCCTCTGGCACCACCGCCTTGGTCACCCCTCCCTGCCACGTCTTCGAGGCATGGCTTCCCGTGTCCTTGTCTCTGGTCTTCCCCGGTCCCTCCCTCCCCTTCCTCCGGGGCCTGCCCCCACCTGTGATCCCTGCGTCGAGGGGCGGCTTCGCGCTACTCCTCACTCCTCCGAGTTCCCTCCGACAGAGGCTCCGCTGCAAACGCTTCACATGGACGTGTGGGGCCCAGCCCGCGTCCGTGGACAGGGTCACGAGCGTTACTTCCTGCTGGTGGTTGACGACTACTCGCGTTACACCACGGTCTTCCCTCTTGCGCCGCAAGGGTGAGGTCACTGAGGTGTTGATCGCCTGGATCTGCGCAGCTCGTCTCCAGGTCAGAGACAGTTTCGGCTCGGATTTTCCTGTTCTGCGTCTGCACTCCGACAGAGGCGAAGAGTTCTCCTCTAACCTTCTGCGAGCGTTCGGTCGTGCACGAGGCATCCACCAGACGTTCACGCTTCCGGACTCTCCACAGCAAAATGGGATTGCTGAGTGCCGCATTGGCATGGTCATGGACGTCGCTCGTACGTCCATGGTCCATGTGGCTGCCCCCCCATTTTCTGTGGCCGTTTGCGGTTCGATACGTGGCGCATCAGATCAACCTTCAGCCCTGGGTCTCCATGCCGGAGACCTCCCCTACTCTCCGGTGGACGGGGAAGGTTAGCGATGCGTCTGCGTTCCGTGTCTGGGGATCTCGGGCGTTTGTCCGCGACTTGTCTGCGGACAAGCTGTCCCCTCGTGCTGTTCCCTGCGTCTTCCTTGGCTTCCCCCCTGACGCGCCACGCTGGCAGTTCTACCACCCCACCTCGCGCCGTGTTCTGGCCTCCTAGGACGTCACGTTTGACGAGTCGGTTCCCTACTACCGTCTCTTCCCCTACCGCACTGCGTCCCTCCCCCCCCCCCCCCGCCGCTCTTCCTTATGCCAGGTCCCCCTCCGGTAGACCCCCTCCCCCCTCAGGGTCCTGCCCCCTCAGGTGTGTCCCAGGTAGACGTAGTCGAGCCTGTCGAGGTAGCTGTTGACTCTGGTGCTGCTAGGGGTACTGAGCCTGCGGGTGCGGGGTCTGGGGGTGCTGAGCCTGGGGGTGCTGCGACAAGGGGTGCTGAGCCTGGGGGTGCTAAGCGTGGGGGTGCTGCGACTGGGGGTGCTGAGCCTGGGGATGCCTCGCCTGGGGGTGCTGAGCCTGGGGGTGCTGCGTCTGGGGGTGCAGAGTCCGAGGGTACTGGTCCTGCTCGTGTGGCGCCTGGTGGTGCTGGGCCTGGAGGTTCTTCAGGTGCTTCGTCCCGGCGGGAGCTACTCTCTCCACAGGAGCTGCGTGAGTGGTTTGCCCGGCCCTGGAGGCGTACTGTTGGAGCTAGAGGTGCTCCGGGAGCTGGAGATTCTGCTGCTGCTGAGGGTGCTGGTGCCACGGGTCCCGGAGGTGCTCCTACTGCGAAAACTGGAGCTGCTGGGCCTGCGGGTGCTTCTAGTACTGGAGCTGGTGGTCCTTTGAGCGTCGGTGCTACTGGGGGTGCTGGAGCTGGTGGACCTGCTGTGTCTTCTGGTGGCCCGGCTGGAACTGGAGCTGTTGGAGGTGTTGGCGCTGAGGGTGCTTCTGGTCCTGGTGCCTCTGAGGGTGCTGGAGTTGGCGCTGCTGGAGCTGGGGGTGCTGCTGGCGCTGGTACTGTCGTTCGGGGTGCTGGTGCTATCCCTTCTGGTGCTGGTGGTGCTGAGCGGCCGCGGCCGTACTTCGTTCCGCTCCTTGAGCATGTTCTCGGTCTTCCGCCCTCTGCTAGTCCGGCTCCTCCCTTAGAGTGTCCACCGCCTGTCCAGTCCGAGTCACAGTTACAACCTACCTCTCCTCTGCCTGCTCCTTCTCCCTACACTGGTCCTACTGGAGGTCTTCCTGAGCGTCGTGAGCCTGCGTCTCGTCCTGCGTCGCCTGTCCGTGCTGCTCGTACTAGTCGTCGTGGTTCGCGTCAGTGTCCTCCTCCTCTCCCCGGCACGCACCGGATGTCTCTGCTTCCGTCCACTGCTCCTCCGCGTGCCCCTTTGCCTTCTCCTCCTGAGTCCTCTCTTCCTGCTCTTCCTGACCCGGAGTCGGACTCCCTTCGTGCTGCCAGTCCTACTGTCACGCGTCTCCTTGCCACTGTGGTCACTCACCCTTCCTTTGAGTCCACTGCTGCGTCTGCCCTAGTTGCTGAGCTTGTCGACTTCGCTGCTCGCTGTCGCCTAGACTACGCTGCTAGTCTTGTCGCTAAGTCTGAGTCTGTCTGTCCTCCGTCCGTCGGGGGTGAGTCTGCTCTTGGCACGGACGTCCTTGAGGACAAGCAGGAGGAGTTCCAATGTCTTGGAGCTGCTTCACCCCATCTCGTGTCCATATTACTTGCCCCTGAGGGAGACCCGGATGCACCAGACATCCCGACTCCGCGCTCTTACACGGAGGCGATAGAGGGTCCCTACTCCTCTTAGTGGCAGGCAGCCATGGACACAGAGATGGCTTCCTAGAAGTCCACAGGCACCTACGTTGTAGAGGTTCCCCCACCTGGGGCGAACATCGTCACTGGCATGCGGATTTTCAGGGTGAAGCGGCCGCCGGGTTCTCCGCCTGTCTTCAAGGCGCGTTACGTAGCTCGTGGCTTCAGTCAGCGACAGGGAGTTGACTACTTTCAGACCTTCTCTCCCACCCCGAAGAGGACCACTCTTCGGGTACTGCTGCACATAGCCGCTCAACGTGATTACGAGCTTCACTCTCTTGACTTCAGCACTGCTTTCTTGCAGGGCAGCCTGCACGAGGTGATCTGGCTGCGCCGCCCACCTGGCTTCCCTGGGACTTTTCCTCCTGGCACCCAGTGGAGCCTCTGGCAGCCAGTCTACGGTCTCTGCCAGGCACGACAACTGAGGACTACACTTGCGGCTCTTGGGTTTGCTCCTTCTTTTGCCAACCCGTCGTTGTTTCTGCGCACCGACACTTCTTTGCCGCCGTTCTACATCCTCGTGTATGTCGACGACTTGGTCTTTGCCACAACTGACACTGCTAGACTCGCCTACGTGAAGTCCGAGCTGCAGAAGAGACACACGTGCACAGACCTTGGTGAACTGCGCAGCTACCTTGGCTTGCAGATCACCCGGGATAGAGCACGCCACACCATTACCCTGACTCAGTCACACATGGTGCAGCAGGTCCTTCAACGCTTCGACTTCATGTACTCCTCGCCTAAGGCCACTCCTCTGTCTACTCGCCACTCGCTCTCAGCTCTGCCTTCGGATGAGTCCGTAGAGCCGAGTGGCCCGTACCCAGAGCTTGTTGGCTGCCTCATGTACCTGATGACCTGCACACGACCTGACCTTGCATACCCTCTTAGCATTCTCGCACGCTATGTTGCTCCTGGGAGACACCTCTCTAAGCACATGGCTGCAGCGAAGAGGGTGTTGCGCTACTTGTGCAGTACGTTGGGCATGGGACTAGTGCTTGGAGGGCGGAGTCCAGTGGTCCTCACTGGTCACGCAGACACGTCTTGGGTTGACGACTTGGCTACGCAGCGGTTGTCACAGGGTTACACCTTCAGCCTTGGTTCCGGTTCTGTTTCGTGGCGGTCTACCCGCTCTTCTTCTGTTCTCAGCTCCAGGTGTGAGGCTGAGATCTACGCGGGGGCCATGGCTGCACAGGAGCTTCGCTGGCTCACCTACCTGGTGACTGACCTAGGAGAGCTGCCTCGTTCTCCTCCAATTCTGTACGTAGACAATAAGGTCATGCTGGCCTTGTGTCGGGAGCACAAGCTGGAGCACAGAACGAAGCACATCGCTCTTCGCTACTTCCTTGCTCGTGAGCTGCAGCAGCATGGTCAGCTGTGCCTTGCTTACGTGGCCTCTGAGGCCAACACTGCTGATATCTTCACCAAGGCACTCGCGCCTTGTGATCATCAGCAATTCTGTACTCTATTAGGTCTTGTGCCTACCTTGCCTCACTTGCTCACTTCTTGACCTTGCTTGTACTGTTACATATATATCTACCTGCTCTTGCTTTTTTAGCATTATATATATGTTATCAGGCATGTGAACTGGCCTACTGGCCTTAAGCTTGTGCTCAAAATGTGAGGTGACGTTGTGATCCACCTTGAGCTTGTTTTGCCTTGCTTTGCTTGACTGGTCTTGTGACCCCTTGTTCTTCCCCACCTTGCCTATGGGCTTGTGTCAAACTTATATGATCTAGCCTGTGTAGGCTGTAGCGGGTCAGAAACTAAGGGGTACATAATTCTAGGGTTTCATATTCGTATCACTTTCATTCCTTAGTCAATTCATTCTCGTTCTAAGTTTCTCAAATTGAAGTTCTTGCAAAACATTGTGACGTGAAACCATCGGCTGCAAACATAATAAACTGCAGGGTCTGCACAATGAAACTGAATGTTGACATAATAAATCACGACATTGTCTTACCAAAGGCAACTACCATCGTGGGATTTCAGGATGAAAATGCATGTGTAAAAACAGCCGACCCGCAAGAAACAAACGAGGTGCGTGTCTAACTTATATGCTATAGTCTGTTTAGGCTGTAGTGGGGTAGTCAATATGTGGTAAAACACTTTAGGGTTTCTTACTTGTACTCCTCATGCTGCTCAATGCCATCATTCCTTCCTCAGATTCTCACATGGTATAGAGCAGGTTCCCTAGTGGGAACGCTTCCTAAGGGCCCACCACTAATTTTTTTTTTATGCCCGGAGCGCGCTTCTCTCCTGCCCGAGTCGCGCCCCGTGTGCACTCCCTCCCGTCGCGTCCCTAGCCCTTAGCGGCCCGTCGCGCCCTCCTCAGGCCCCTAGCGGCCCCTTTCGCGGCCCCTCGCGGCCCCTCTCACGGCCCCGTCGTCGCCGCCCTTCGCGGCCACCTTGCCACCCTTAGCAGCCCCGTCGGCTCCCTACCGGCCCCGTCGCCGCCCTACCGGCTCCGTTGCCGCCTTACCGGCCCCACAGCCGACCCTAGCGGCCCCGTCGCCGCCCTGCCGGCCCCGTTGCCGACCCTAGCGGCCCCGTAGCCAACCCTACCGGCCCTGTCGCCGCCCCTACGCGGCCCTGTCGCCGCCCCTAGCGGCCCCATCGACGCCTCCTGTCAGAATGTTATTTGTCTAGCCTGCAGTGGGGTGCTCAATACTGAGTACAACCCCTTAGGGTTTTCTATTTGTGTGTCCTGCTGCTTGCTAGTCCATCATTTTCCTTCCTTCCAATTCTCCTTCCCAAACCCTAAGTCCTAGTTCTAAAGCACCTTGCCTACCTCCTAGTGTGGGCCTAAGCCTAGGCCCCACCTCCTACTATTTTCACATGTTATCAGAGCCCGTTCTCCCTTGGCCTGTGGGCCCCTATGCTTCCGCTGCAGTCCTTCTTCCTGCCGCGCGCTCCGCGCGCGGCGAATTTTTTTTTAGGGTTTCGGAGTTTTTAGTCCCGCCGTGCGCTCGGGGCGCGCGGCGGTTTTCCCGTCTGTCGAAGCGCCCTCGGGGGGGCCTGCGCGCTGCCCTCCCCGCTGCTCGTCGCGACGCCCGTGCGGGACCCGCGCGGCGTCGCCCTGCTCGTCGCGACGTCCGTGCGGGACCCGCGGGGCGTCGCCCCTGCTCGTCGCGACGTCCGTGCGGGACCCGCGCGGCGCCGCCCTACTTGTCGCGACGTCCGTGCGGGACCCGAGGGGCGTCGCCCCTGCTCGTCGCGGCGTCCGTGCAGGACCCGCGGGGCGCCGTCAGAGCCAGCAGCAACCGCCGCCAGAGCCTACAGCAGCGGCCGCCACCACCCAGCAGCAGCAGCCGCCGCCAGGCCTGCAGCAGCTGCCGCCACCGCGCCTGCAGCAGCAGCTGCCGCCGCTCTGCAGCAG